ATTCCAGTTATATCACGGCGTGTCAGCTTGACGTGGGAGGAAAGCCCGACGTGATGCAGGTATTAGACGTTACCGCTTATGTGAATACCACGAGCACAAAATGGTGCTGACAAACCGACAAACATAATCGATGCGGACCGGGATTCGAGCCCACGACCACAGGTTTCTGGCGTGTCCAAGGGACACAACTCTGCATAGCAAATTTGGCATTGAGACGACTGGGCCACCCGTGTCGCTCTTTAGTCTTCTTTGGACCAATGATTATTCTCAACAGAGTCACTGTTTTTCTTTCTACTTGACTATTTCATGGTTTCTTTGTATTACTTGTATTGTACACAGCAAAAGGCACCATTTAAGCCTCTGGCTAATACATGTACCAAGTTTGGATGAAACATCTTTCACGGTTTTTAAGTTATGCTCCGGAACGAAATAGGGACGGGCGGACATGCCGGGGGTATAAAATCACTATGGTCAGGGGAATGTGTGACGGCATTCTCTGGATGTTTGGCGAGGCTTTGCATCTCAGTTGAAATCTTGTCATCGTACCCCGCCGGTGGGGCTTTGTTCATTATATCAACCACTGTTTTGCTTGGCACATATTTTACATACAGGCCGTGATATAGCTGGAATAAACAAAACCTACAAATTTAAATGAGCTCACAACCAGGATTTCAAGAATGTACACTTCTGTACAAGTCTTTACAAGTTTAACGTACAAAGGTCGACCTCTTCCAAGCGACAGGTTAACGATTTATTGAATCTGTAATGATAACATCAACATTCCATCGTCTGGCATTTATTGACATGCTCAGTAGAAGTGTTATTTGCCCTAAACCATAACTGTTCGTATCGCACACAACCGCCACAATATGAAGGTGTATCTCCTCGAGAGGGGGGTGAATAAATCTTATATTGCCTTATTATGGCTCAAGGCATATGAGTACGCCGTGCGTGACTGACTTTGTACCATTACTGATCAGACTAGTACAGTTTATGGGTGCTTAACTCTTATACAGCCCCGTTTATTTACGTCATAAAATCATAAACAAGCCTCCAGATCGAATTCACTCCTCCCCATGAGGCTTCGTAAAGAGTAAAAATGTCCACTTGCATATTTGAAGTGAGTGAGTTAGTTGAGTTTAACGTCCCTTTGAAAGGTTATTAAGTGGGTTAGTGAGTTGGGCTTAACGCCGCTTTTAACACTATTCCAGTTATATCACGGCGTGTCAGCTTATTGTGTGAGGAAAGCCCGAGGTGATGCAGGTCTCAGACGTTTACCACTTCGGTGAAACCCACGAGCACGGGTATGGTGCTGACAAAAATAGAGACATAATCGGGGCAAACCGGGATTCGAACCCACAATCATAGGTTTCTGGCGTGCCCAAGGGACACAACTCTGCACAGCGTATCGCGGCGCCTTAGACGACTGGGCCACCCGTGCCCCCGAAAGGTTATTGAGTTAAATATCACGGCTTGACAACTTCGTGCGAAAGGAAAGTTGTAAGGGATGCAGGTTTTGGACATTTACAACTTTGGTGACACCACGAGTAGGGGGATGGTGCAGACAAACCTAGAAACATAATCAGAGCAAATTTGGGACTCGAACGCATAATAATGTTTCCAAAAGGCCAAAGGGTAGCAACTCTGCATAGCGAATTGCGGCGCCTTATACGACTGGGACATCCAGGCCCTTTTATTAACTAGAACAAGAATCAATACAATACGAGTATGTTGGTATTCGATTGTTTATCATTGCCCGCTGGTGGTATTCGTTTTTGTGATTTAATAAATCGTTTGGCTTTGATAAAACTACATCTTCCCGAGGCAAGGGAGTTAACTTACCATAAAGTCAAGTTTTCACGGTTAACTCCCTTGCCTCGGGAATGTGATAAAACTCCTGCTGCTTCATGTTACGCTGGACATACGGGACAACCCCAAAGGGTCTTCTCATTCAGCAAGCTAACTCTTTTAGGGGGTGGGTGACCAAAGGTGGACAATTCCGTTATCTTCGCACTGAACATTCTCTACACTACGCTTATTTCCCCTATAAATGGGGAACTTGCAAGGGCACTGGGAACCTATTCTGTCCCGGAAAATCTCACAGGGAGACAAGCATGGGGTACTGGGGACCTAGTCTGTCCCAGAATCCCCACAGGAAGACAAGCATGGGGTACTGGGGGCCTAGTCTGTCCCAGAATCCCCACAGGAAGACAAGCATGGGGTAGTGGGGGTCTAGTCTGTCCCAGAATCCCCACAGGGAGACATGCATGGGGTACTGGGAACCTAGTCTGTCCCAGAATCCCCACAGGAAGACAAGCATGGGGTAGTGGGGGCCTAGTCTGTCCCAGAATCCCCAAAGGGAGACAAGCATGGGGTACTTGGGACCTCGTCTGTCCCAGAATCTCAACGGGAAGACAAGCATGGAGTACAGGGAACTCGTCTGTCCCAGAATCCCCAAAAGGAGACAGGCATGGGGTACTTGGGACCTCGTCTGTCCCAGAATCCCCAAAGGGAGACAGGCATGGGGTACTGGGTACCTCGTCTGTCCCAGAATCCCCAATGGGAGACAAGCATGGGGTACTGGGGACCTCGTCTGTCCCAGAATCCCCAATGGGAGACAGGCATGGGGTACTGGGGACCTCGTCTGTCCAAGATTCCCCAATGGGAGACAAGCATGGGGTACTGGGGACCTCGTCTGTCCCAGAATCCCCAATGGGACACACGCATGGGGTACAGGGAACCTCGTCTGTCCCAGAATCCAAACGGGAAGACAAGCATGGGGTACAGGGAACCTCGTCTGTCCCAGAATCCAAACGGGAAGACACGCATGGGATACAGGGAACCTCGTCTGTCCCAGAATCCAAACGGGAAGACAAGCATGGGATACAGGGAATCTATATAGCCCAGGGAATCACAACAGGAAAATCATGGGAACAAACTCTTCCCTAGAAACCACACAAGAAGAAAAGCATTGTTTTGTTTGTTTGTTGTTTAAGCTGCACTCATCAACATTCCAGCCATATGTCACTGGCCTGAAAATAATTGTGTCTAGGCAATGGATCCACTCTGTCCTGGTACAATAACACACTATCGCACCAAGGCACCAGACCAACCCGTTTGGTCACATTTCTTGCATATAGGTTGACAGAGACCTGTAACCTATTCTGCCTCAGAATCCCAATGGGAAGACAAACAAGGGACTTTTACTGTCATGATTTAAGCACAGGGTACTTGGAACACTTTCTGTCCAAAAACACAAGCATGGGTTACTTGAAAGCTGTATTGTCTGACATCCCCATGCGTACACAATCATGGGGTACTGGGAACCTAGTTTGTCCGGGAATCCCCACAGGTACACGGGCATTGGGAACCAAGTTTGTCGGGGAATCCCCATAGATACACACGGAACCTACTTTGTCCGGGAATCCCCACAGTAACACAGGCATTGGGAACCTAGTTTGTCGGGAATCCCCATAGATACACACGGAACCTTCTTTGTCAAGGAATCCCCATAGGTGCACAGGCATTGGAAACCTAGTTTGTTGGGGAATCCCCATAGATACACACAGAACCTTCTTTGTCCAGGAATCCCCACAGTTACACAGGCATTGGGAACCTAGTTTGTCGAGGAATCCCCATAGGTACACAGGCATTGGGAACCTAGTTTGTCGGGGAATCCCCACAGGTACACAGGCATTGGGAACGAAGTTTATCGGGGAATCCCCATAGATACACACGGAACCTAGTTTGTCATGGAATCCCCACAGTTACACAGGCATTGGGAACCTAGTTTGTCGGGAATCCCCATAGATACACACGGAACCTTCTTTGTCCAGGAATCCCAATAGGTGCACAGGCATTGGAAACCTAGTTTGTTGGGGAATGCCCATAGGTACACAGGGAACCTTCTTTGTCCAGGAATCCCCACAGTTACACAGGCATTGGGAACCTAGTTTGTCGAGGAATCCCCATTGGTACACAGGCATTGGGAACCTAGTTTGTCGGGGAATCCCCTCAGGTACACAGGCATTGGGAACGAAGTTTATCGGGGAATCCCCATAGATACACACGGAACCTAGTTTGTCATGGAATCCCCACAGTTACACAGGCATTGGGAACCTAGTTTGTCGGGAATCCCCATAGATACACACGGAACCTTCTTTGTCCAGGAATCCCAATAGGTGCACAGGCATTGGAAACCTAGTTTGTTGGGGAATACCCATAGGTACACAGGGAACCTTCTTTGTCCAGGAATCCCCACAGTTACACAGGCATTGGGAACCTAGTTTGTCGAGGAATCCCTATTGGTACACAGGCATTGGGAACCTAGTTTGTCGGGGAATCCCCACAGGTACACAGGCATTGGGAACGAAGTCTATCGGGGAATCCCCATAGATACACGCGGAACCTAGTTTGTCCAGGAAAACCCACAGGTACACAGGCATTGGGAACAAAGTTTATCGGGGAATCCCCATAGATACACACGGAACCTAGTTTGTCCAGGAATCCCCACAGTTACACAGGCATTGGGAACCTAGTTTGTCGGGGAATCCCCATAGGTACACAGGGAACCTAGTTTGTCGAGGAATCCCCATAGGTACACAGGGAACCGTCTTTGTCCAGGAATCCCCCCAGGTACACAGGCATTGGGAACCTAGTTTGTCGAGGAATCTCCATAGGTACACAGGCATTGGGAACCTAGTTTATCGGGGAATCCCCATAGGTACACAGGCATTGGGAACCTAGTTTGTCGGAGAATCCCCATAGGTACACAGGGAACCTAGTTTGTCCATGAATCCCCACAGGTACACAGGGAACCTAGTTTGTCGGGGAATCCCCATAGGTACACAGGGAACCTAGTTTGTCGAGGAATCCCCATAGGTACACAGGGAACCTAGTTTGTCGGGGAATCCCCATAGGTACACACGGAAAGTATTGCATGATGTGGGACACCCACAACCAGCAGCACCAGGTGACAAAAGTATAAGTGGACCATCTCATAATATATTATGTTTTATTTAGAAATATTCAGATTTCTAGGATGATGTCAACATTATTAATTCAACTGTTAAATTTACATTCAGGAAACACTTTCAACTGCCTTGATTCATAGCATTAAATTATCTTCTTGCATTAAAAAAAAATTACATATAAAAATGTAAAATGAACATTTCACTACAATCAAGAGTCTTAACGAGCTTAAGTACAAATCTCTTAATGTTAACAAAGAACTCTGAGAAAAAACTCTGAATAAATAGTGTCATTATTAGGCAAGCTGTCTGTAATATATTTCAGATGACTCACAAGGCAATGAGATTCTGTTTTCTTAAAATCTTGTAGAGACATTTTGTGGCAACATCTATTGTATGACAATGATCACAAACACGATGAACTAAATGAACAAAATACATGATAATTCATCTTTGTTGCAAATATTCCACCCAATGAAATGAATTACATTCTAGAAATCAATGTTGGAAGCAGCATTCTTACAACCAAAACCAAAGTTGAAGAAAATCACCAGTGGGAAAATCTTAAAAGTAGAAAATTGGTAAATATGGTAAAAAAAAAAGAGTAAATATAACTGCGCACAACCACATTGTATAGTGTCTATCCAAGTGTACATGTGTATACTGGGTTCACAGATCGACAAACATGCAGCCTACACAACCATAGGAAACACTTAAATACAATAAATTATTCAGATTTATTACATATGGCATTCTTGAGGGGACCATATCAACAGTTCAAAAGTCATTTTTGTTTCTTCTCAATTTTCAATTCAGAAATTAAGCATGAAACAAAGATTGTTAACAATCTGTCTAATAGTAGGTCTACATGAGGCTGACTAGCAGTCTAGCAGCAGATCTACATAGTCACTTAGTTTTAGGAAATCAACCTCAGCAAATATTTTGATCGAGCAATTCTTTATATGAAGTCATCTGTCCGGCCTAAAATGTCACTGTACTTTGTAGAACAAAATACAGTGACACTAACATTTTAACAACACATGACAAGACAAAACAAAAACGTAACCGTGGTAACAGACAATTCTACACATACTGCCCCAAAATACACATCTCTCTACCATGCACACACAAACCACACATGACTTTACAATTCAATATCTATTGCTCAGAAATCTGTTGCCAACTACACTTGAAGGAAATGATAAAAAAAGCTCCTGGAAGCTGCTTCTTATCACATATTAGTGAGTTGGCGTTAACACAGCTTTGAACTGTATTTCAGTTATATCACGGCGTCACAGCTTAACATGGAAGGAAAGCCCGAAGTGATGCAGGTCTTAGACGTTTACCACTTTGGTGAATATCACAAAGCAATGTTATGATGCTGACAAACTTAGAAACATAATCAGGTTGATCCTTGTTTCCAAACCACAATCATAGGTTTCTGCACAGTGAATTGTGACAGCTTGATACCTGATGACTGGGCAACCTGTGTCCCTTTGTTGTCAGTGGTGCCACTTTAAACAATACTACATCAGGAAGAATGGTTCACATGTGCCGATGTGGGAATAGAACCAGGTGATAGGCGTAACAAACAAACACACCACCAACTGGGCTACCCGACTGTTTACACTGGGAAGGGAGCTAACCCATGTCACAGGCATTAAACATCTGAACAAGACCTGTCAAATTAACTGATGACAAAGACAACACTATTACCGACATGGATCCCACATAGAAATCAGCCATTTTTCAGGTGTGCCTACAATATTATATACATCATGAATCTGATTCTATCCTACAAGGTCAATATACGTCACACCACGACGAGGTCTGACGAAGAAATAGTCACATGAAGATGATCTATGTAATAATCAGCACCATCAGAAGCACATTCATATATACAGCATCAGGCGGAAGAAACAAAGAGACTCGCTCGCAAGACTCAGGTCAAAGGTGGACCGGCTCCACATCAAATAATCCTAACATGATTATGAAGTTATCGCAAACCAAAAACTTTTGTAAAGCCACACAAAGGTTTCTCAGGCATCAGTGTCAGTCATATTTATTGCCAATAAAAAAATATCTTTCAAATTTTCTATGTCATATGAAGCATAATCTGTTATCCACAAAATAAAAAGCTTGATAATTAACACTGTATTAAATGGCCAAGTTCAATTTGCAAGCCAACTTGTGTTAGTTGGTATTCTTGGTGGAAAACATATGTATGAAAAGTGCATCACTTAGTAAAAAAAATACAAATATTTAAGTTCTTATTAATAGTGCCTCACTTTGTTGTTTTTTTAATTAAAAAATATAAATATTCAAGTCCTTCTGCCCTCCTCACTTTCGAAAAAAACCGTACACAGGAATCTTTAAATTTCTCTTTTGCAGTGCTGAATAATTTTGTACATGTACGATAGGGCTTTAAACCAATAACTTGGAGTAAAGCAACGTTAAAATAATGTTAATAGTACGTGTAACAAGTTGTATCCCACCTTATTATTTATCAAAATCCGTGTTTTGAACAGAACAGGTTTGTGTGAAAAGGTCTGAAAGGTAAGTGGATCATGCTATATATCATGTAAACACAGGGCTTGAATCAACAGGTTATGAGTAAGACTCTCGTCTGGGGAGAACTTGTCTGTAACACTAGTCTCCACACTGGCGTCCTAGTGGTTGGGTCTAACCCTGATTATACAGCACACATCTCAACCATATGATCAGCATCTGGCAATTTCGTGGTATGACATGAGGCCCCATCTCATTCTCGAACAATGGTGGCGACATCACTGACATGGAGGTCAAGCTGAGATCAGACAGGTTTTGTCAGGTCACATGTTACAAACTAAAAACTGTTACAACTAATTGGTATTGGTAAACGACAATTTAACGCTACAAAAATATGATTGCTTACAGCAGTTTGAAAGTAAACATCATCAAACAGAAATATTTTGATATGGAGTTCTGCATCCTCTTGATTGCCGTCCTATCTCTGTCTCCACACAGCTGGGGCGTGTCACAGTTCGTCCTCACAGTGTGATGGTACTGTAGCCATGGTAACCTTGGTCCAATTGCCTGCAAGAAGAACTATTTTCCTCCAGCTATTCGTATGATATCTCACAATGATCCCATGGAAAGTCTGTATTGTTCATGCTTGCGTTATCAAATCACATTCCATACAAGTATTTGCTTGCTGTCTTTTGGTTAACAGAAACTGTCTAGAGTAATTTCCTGGAATTCACTGAGGGCTTTGATTGGTTCAATTCTTTCCTTGCGCGCACTTTTGCGGATTTTGGAGCGCAGCTCATCGGGATCTTCCCGTCTGACAAGAGGCTTCTTCGCTGGTGCCTTCATTTTCCAGAGAACAATCTGAAGAAGAAGAAAAAAATAGTGAGCTGTTTTTACACCGCGTTAAGCAATATTCCAGCACCATCAGGCTGGGGACACCAAAAAAGCTCCTTATATGGTTCTAGAGGTCATTTATCACTGCATTTTCCCGACCATACTGTACTCCATGTCACTAAGTTCAGATAGGACTAGTTTTGATGTCATACATGTCACTGTCTTCCAACAAGTCAGCTGTGTCTAAGCTATATCACAGCAACCTGTAAATAATCATGTCTGGCCAGTCAAACCAGTGGGTGATATGATGAGCAACATCCAACACTGTTGGCGTTTGATGAGACGCAACCAACCAAGTCACTAGGTCGTTTCAGTTGTCTATTACAACAAACACTGGTTACTGGGGACCAACACTATCCCAGGATCCCCACCTATCCCAGGATCCCCACCTATCCCAGGATCCACACCTTTCCCAGGATTCCCACCTATCCCCTAATCCCCTAATCCCCACCTATCCCAGAATCCACACCTATCCCAGCATCCCCACTTATCCCAGGATCCCCACCTATCTCAGGATCCCCACCTATCCCAGAATCCACACCTTTCCCAGGATTCCCACCTATCCCAGGATCCACAACCTATCCCAGGATTCCAAGCTATCCCAAGGATCCCTAGCTATCCCAGGATCCCCACCTATCCCAGGATCTCCACCTATCCATGGATTCACAACCTATCCCAGGATCCCCACCTATCCCAGGATCCCCATCTATCCCAGGATCCCCAGCTATCCCAGGATCTCCAGCTATCACAGGATCTCCACCTATCCCAGGTACTGTTGTGATACTGCAATGCACGCAGTTCCGCCATTCAGGTGAGATGTGACCACACATGAACACACAGGTCACTTAGGGACAGACTAATCCAGGTAGCAGCAAACATGTCTCCTGATTCCTGATCACTGTACGTCAGTTAGCCTTGCTATTTGGATTACTAGACAAACTGCTTATGACATATGGGACCGTATCCTTGAGTCAGGACAGGGATGTTTCTAGAGCAGCTCAGAGGATGATATTCAGCTTCATATGCAGCAAATGTCAGAAAGAAGTCCCAAAATGAAATCCATTTTTCCCAGTTCATGTAAAATAGCCAACTAATGTAATGGCTTTGAAGAAGTGACTTGTACTTCAATGATCAATTTGAGCAAACAATTTTTTCCAAATTGCCTGCCAAGGGTTGGAGAAACAGCATCAAGGTAACCTCCATTCACAACTCACCAACAGACAGGAATGTTTGTTTGTTTGTTTGTTTAACGCAACACTCAGCAATATTCCACCTATATGACGGCGGTCTGTAAATAATCGAGTCTGGACCAGACAATCCAGTGATTGATATCATCAGCATCGATCCATGCAATTGGGACTCGCTGACTTGGTCGATGCATGTTATCGTATCCCAATTGGATGGATCGAATCTCATGATATATTAATCACTGGATTGTCTGGTCCAGACTCGATTATTTACAGACCACCGTCAAATAGCTGGAATATTGCTGAGTGTGGTGTTAAACAGCGAACAAACAACAACATATTGCAAAACCCTTAAAAATGGCAAATTTCTTCTTGTCCTTATGATACCTCAACCAAAGGGCAGTTTGGCAAGGACTATAAAATTGTGCCAAGTTCAATTGCTGCAAATACTTACATTCTGGTTATTCTTGGGATACTGAAAATCAAAAAGAAACTCTTATTAGACAACTGACAAAGCGATATGATCATGTGATATAATTGACCTTTACTACTCAAAAGAAGTTAAGGACCACCTAATTCTTTCAAATTACTATATTTTATCTGTCATGGCACAGCTACCCCATTTTCAAAGGAAGAAAGAGGTATCACCAAAATTGTTACAATCTCCACCATATTTTACCACTTGGTTCATACAAATGTTCCCAACACACACCTTCGTGGAAGCGACATAGCAAGCTTTGACTGTCAACACAACAGCATTCATCAAGTTCTTGGCAGCCTGGATCAATGAGGTGGCACTGTCAAGCTGAAAACAACAGACAACTTTGAAAAATCTACTTCAATTATGGGTCTGGTGCCGTGTACAAGGCAATCTTAGTGCTAAGTAAGGCTGTTACAATTCACTCGCGTATTCGGTGAAGCCGTATCCATTCATGAATTGAATTCGTTATTCGTGACCAATAGAATCGAATATTTATGAATATGCAGTCATGTTCAATTACATACCATGTATCTAAAAATATCCATAAGAACATATTATATGCATAGATTTCTTCAAAGACAACACTCTTATGCTATTTAATTTGACAGTAATGTGGTCACTGGTCATTGTCGCATTTGAGCAGATACTGCATAAGTGAAGTATATAAATGCATAATATGTTAATAATAAATGAACCATGTCAAATAATTTGTGTTGCTTTCGGTTCATTGAATATAACAAATAATACATCAAATGCTGACTTGTTATTGTATTCGTGAATTAATATTCATATTCGTTACACTATATTCGTGATACAAATCGTATTTGCCTCATAGTGTATTCATTGCAGCCCTAGTGCTAAGCTGATCATAACTCCCATACGTTAACATAGACTTAAGAAAGTCATAGTGCCAAAGGATGTCTTGTACAACAGCACCCTGGACAAATTACCTAATTCGCTATCGCACACTCAAGTGGAAAAAATTATTCCATAAACAATTTCAAAGGGAATATCTGAAGAGTTAATTAATACACATTTCAGATGATTGGGGCATATGCAGGGGGAAAGACCCTCTTGTATCTATTTGAGAGTGAGTGACAGACCAAGGTACATAACCTGGGCAAATCAGGGATTAGAAGCTGCGACCATCAGATCCTGACAGCAAAGGGAGACAACTCTGCACAGTGAGCACTTAATACCACTATGCCACCTCAGCCCCAATCTGTTCTGCACTGGGACACATCGCAAATATCATTGCATTTCTATGTCAAATACCAGGGCCTTGCTATAGAAAGGAATAAGGCAGCTCACAGAATATAGAACTGGAGTTTGGGGGCCATAATTTTAAACTTGAAGTGTTATTATTCATACCTGAAAAAGCATACATTCTAAATATTTCAAGTGGTCTTCAAAATGTGTAGGAGATGAAGACGAGAATATACACACCCCTGAGACGATGAGCTCTCCACTAACACTCTGTACATCGGCCTTGACCTTGCTGGTGATGTTGAGTTGGTGACAGTACAGGGCGATTCTCTGCATGTAAGCCTCCAGGTCCTTCTTGGACTGAGAGTCGGGGCACTGTGAACACAAACACAGCAACATGTCAAGTGGTCACACCAGTCGGATGTTGGATAGTTGTTGTTGGTTTGTTGTTTAACACGGCACTCAGCATCTGTAATATCTCAGCCAAACAGCATGAAAACAACATTAGCTTGAATCGCCATAAGATTTCAGCATAGCACAAATTAGGCTGAATATACAAACGAATAAAGTGTATGAATCACAGGCTGAAACACCACTAACAGTGAAGTTTTGTTTTATTGTTTAACGCCGCACTCAGCAATATTCCAGCTATATGATGGCGGTCTGTAAATAATCGAGTCTGGACCAGACAATCCAGTGATCGATATCATGAGCATCGATCCACGCATTTGGGATCGATGACGTGCATCAACCAAGTCAGCGAGCCTGACCACCCGATCCCATTAGTCTCCTCTAACGACAAGCATAGTCACCTTTTACGGCAAGCATGGGTTGCTGAAGACCTATTCTACCCCGGATCTTCACGGGTCCAGCAGTAAGCACTATTCTACAATATCACTATGCGTCCTCTAACTTTTACCCCATCAGTATATATATATTCATGACTTTAACAAACATGACTGTATTGATTGCATAAATATCTGATAATGTCATTTCTCCATTCATGGAACATCATAGTTAGGGTAACATACCTGATCGGCAACTGTTCGTGACAATTTGTCCAATCTGGAACCAGCCTCAGAAATTTTCTTTGCAGCGTTGATCACATCCATGGTGCTCTTCAATGGACCACGACCCCTAGAACAGAGTACATAGATTCTAGATCACACATATCTAAACAGTGGTCGGTCATATATAAAGTGAGTGAATTGTGTCTCATGCCGTTGTCAGCACCATTACAACCAATCACATTCATCTGCATGTTAATGAGGCCACACAGTCAACATGTCGCACCAAAATTGAAAGTGTAACATTCACAGAATTACGATGGATTATGAAACAGTGATGAAACAGAACCCTTGTGAAGTGAGTGAGTATGATCTAACGTAACTTTTAGAAATATTTCAACAATATCATTGCAGAGAACACCACAAGTAGGCTTAACATATTGTACCAAGTGGGGAATCGAACTCGGGGTTTCAGCATGACGAGCAACCACCTTAACCACTTGGCTACCCGACTGACCCCACTTGTCACGTCCACCCACGTGAAACCAACTCATTCAACAGTAACATGACTGACCTGGTGAAGTCTGTCATCTCCATCATGATCATACACATCTGCTTGGCGAGGACAATGATGTCGTTGCCGCTGTCGTCCCACTTGGCCACCTCGCGGTCCAGCTTGTCCTTCTCCATGCGGAACATCTCCACCTCCTGCTGGATTAGCTCCCTTTCCTCCTTCGGCAGACTGCGCATGAGGGCACGGTCGCTCTGGTCAATTGCCTCCTGCTCCATCACACTCGCTGCAACCGGAATGCATGGGTGAGTGAGGGAGAACGCACTCATGGGTGAGTGAGGGAGAACGCACTCATGGGTGAGTGAGGGAAATATACATGGGTGAGTGAGGGAGAACACATAGATGAGGGAAATATACATGGGTGAGTGAGTGAGGGAAATATACATGCATGAGTAAGGGAGAACACATGGGTGAGTGAGGGAGAACACATGGGTGAGGGAGAACACATGGGTGAGTGAGTGAGGGAGAACACATGGGTGAGTGAGTGAGGGAGAACACATGGGTGAGTGAGGGAGAACACATGGGTGAGTGAGTGAGGGAAATATACATGGGTGAGTGAGGGAAATATACATGCATGAGTAAGGGAGAACACATGGGTGAGTGAGGGAGAACACATGGGTGAGGGAGAACACATGGGTGAGTGAGTGAGTGAGGGAGAACACATGGGTGAGTGAGTGAGGGAGAACACATGGGTGAGTGAGGGAGAACACATGGGTGAGTGAGGGAGAACACATGGTTGAGTGAGGGAGAACACATGGGTGAGGGAAATATACATGGGTGAGTGAGAGAAATATACATGGGTGAGTGAGGGAGAACACATGGGTGAGGGAAATATACATGGGTGAGTGGGGGAGAACACATGGGTGAGTGGGGGAGAACACATGGGTGAGTGGGGGAGAACACATGGGTGAGTAAGGGAGAACACATGGGTGAGGGAGGGAGAACACATGGGTGAGTGAGGGAGAACACATGGGTGAGGGAGGGAGAACACATGGGTGAGTGAGTGAGGGAGAACACATGGGTGAGTGAGGGAGAACACATGGGTGAGTGAGGGAGAACACATGGGTGAGTGGGGGAGAACACATGGGTGAGTAAGGGAGAACACATGGGTGAGGGAGGGAGAACACATGGGTGAGTGAGGGAGAACACATGGGTGAGGGAGGGAGAACACATGGGTGAGTGAGTGAGGGAAATATACATGGGTGAGTGAGGGACAACACATGGGTGAGGGAAATATACATGGGTGAGTAAGGGAGGGAAATATACATGCATGAGTGAGGGAGAACACATGGGTGAGTGAGTGAGGGAAATATACATGGGTGAGTGAGGGACAACACATGGGTGAGGGAAATATACATGGGTGAGTAAGGGAGGGAAATATACATGCATGAGTGAGGGAGAACACATGGGTGAGTGAGTGAGGGAAATATACATGCATGAGTGAGGGAGAACACATGGGTGAGTGAGTGAGGGACATATACATGGGTGAGTGAGGGAGAACACATGGGTGAGAGGGAAATAAACATGGGTTAAGTTAACTGTTTATTTGATGGCACTAAAAAGAATTGTAGCCAAACATGCAGCAGAGGTTTATATCTGGTCTTCTTCCTATCATGTGTGTCTCCATTGGATATCTGTGAAGTAATGTTTATTTCTATATGGAGCAGATGTTTACTCACATAATCCTTCTTGTTCATCTTCATATTCAATCTCACTGTCAGAGTCTATTTCTGCAACCGACTGGAAAACAAAGAAAATTCTACATAGGAATAGCATTACTAAATCATATGCCAAGTTTGCAACAGGGTTAGAAATTAGCACCAGCCCGCCACCCCTGGGCTACTACAAATTCATGCGGGCAAGTTCAAATTTCCAAATTTCCCCATTGTTTTTTAACATTAGAATCGCATTTTTTCATTACCCGGGCTAGTAAAGATTTTCAGTTTAGTTCTAACCCTGTTTACATCATAAATGTAGTAAAGAAATGATTTATGACGTCCATCATGGTGCAAGAGCAACAAACCATGCTGCTGGGGAATGACCGCCATCAGCCAGGTGACACTGTGACCACGGCTTACTCACCCTGTTCATGAGGACAGCCTGTCTGATGTCCCGGACCCCGTCATACACGAGCCTGCTTGCCTCGATGAAGTCATTCTCCTCCATGTCGCGCTGCGGGTGGGTGCTCAGGGCATCCACCGCCACCTCCACCTTCTCCGCAAAGTTGGGCATGACTGCAGCAATAGAGCAGACCAAATATCAACAAGCTACATTTGTTTTAGTGCTTTCAAAATTAAATGTCTCAAATACTAGGATGGTCTCTGATCACGTTGCCTAGAATGAGTTAGATTTGTCGCATCTGTAATATCTCAGCCAAACAGCATGAAAACAACAATGGCTTGAATCGCCATCAGATTTCAGCATAGCACAAATTAGACTGAATATACAAACGAATATAGTGTATGAATCACAGGCTGAGCACCACTACCAGTGAAGTTTTGTTTTGTTGTTTAACGCCGCATTCAGCAATATTCCAGCTGTATGACGACGGTCTGTAAATAATCAAGTCTGAACAAGACAATCTAGTGATTGACATTATGAACATCGAGCCATGTAATTGGGACAGGATGACATGCGTCAACCAAGTCAGCGAGCCTGACTACCCAATCCCGTTGGTCGCCTCTTTCAACAAGCATAGTTGCCTTTTACAGTAAGCATTGGTTGCTGAAGACCTTTTCTACCCCGGATCTTCACAGGTCACCAGTGAGGTCATCATGTGACCTTTTCTTCATAATCTGCTAGCATAACAAATTGCTGTTAGCTTGAATCAGGTTCTGAAACAACTTTACATCTGAGTATGCAAGTTGTACATGACTGATGTACTCACTCTGGTCTCGGAGCATAATGACGGCCTCCATGACTCTCTCGGTGTATGGTCCAGGCTCGTAGTTGTCCATCTCAGCACCAACCACGTTGCAAACACGGGCCGACCGACCTCGGATAGCGCCGGCTGTCCTGTCTAGCGTGTCAGCGTCTGCCTCCTGCAGGGCGATCACACACTTGTTCACATCCTCCAGGATGTGGTTCTCTGTACAAGGAACAATTATCATCATCATCATCATCACCATCATCATCATTATAATCATCATCATCAATTGTCAAAACAAGAACCTCCAAACTAGATTTGATGCTGCTTATCTTGAGTTAGAGGGACTGTTTCTCCCCCTAAATCAAATCCCTGAGACAGCTAGAAGTCATGTGATGTGGTGATGTTGTTCAGTCTCAGTCAGCAGATTTGTTTCTCCCCCTTAATCAAACCGGTGAATGAGAAAGTGAGTTGGGTTATTCCAGTTATATCGCCGTGTGTCAGCTTAATGTGGGAGGAAAGCCCGAAGTGATGCAGGTCCTAGATGTTTATCACTTCGGTGAAACTCACAAGCACAGGTATGGTGCTAATAAACCATAATCAAGGCCAACCAGGATTTTAACCCACAATCATAGGTTTCTGGTGTGCCCAAGGGATGCAACTCTGCACACCAAATTGCAGCACCTTAGACACTCGTGCCCCCTCAAACCCGTGAGAGCTAGGAAGTCATGTATTGTGGTGATGTCATCCACAGCCTCGGTCAGCAGACAGACTTGTTTCTCCCCCTAAGTCAAACCCCTTGATCGTGTACACCCACCTGAGACAGCTAGGAAGTCATGTATTGTGGTGATGTCATCCACAGCCTCGGTCAGCAGACGGACTTGTTTCTCCCAGGCATCCTTGAACACCTCCATGTTCTCCTGGGCAATCTTGGACCTGGGTCTGGCAGACAGCACTCGAGCAGCGTTGATCACCTGACATTCAAGATCAACAGAGTCGGTATTAACTCTATCACTACTGTACATGTTTCAAGTGGCATTAAGAGTGAGTGAGTGAGTTTGGTTTTACACCATTTTAGCAATATTCCAGCAATATCACCAAGGGGGGACACCAGAAATGGGCGTCAAACATTGAACCCATGTTTGGAATAGATCCCGGGTCTTCGGCGTGATGAGCAATCGCTTTAACCACTAGGCTACCCTACCGTCCCAAGTGGCATTTTATTGTTTGTATGATGAACAAGGGAGATAGTTCTATGAATATACAACTTCTTCATAACAATGAACGCAATGTTTCAGTGCAAGATACTTCACACTGCAGTTCAGTTCAAACTAGCACCGTTAAACCTATAGGTAGCCTGGCTCTCAACTGAAATACCAGTAAACTCGTCTCCTAAGCAAGCTTAGCTACAACTAGACCGCCTCCGTGGTCTAATGGTAGAGCGTCCGCCCGGAGAGCGGAAGGTTCAGGGTTTGATCCCTGGCCGCGTCAAAGACGTTAAAAGATTGTACTTGTTGTTACCCTGTCTGGCGCTCGGCATTAAGGGGATAAAACAAAGACTGGTCGGCTCGGAGTCAGTATACTGTGTCTGAGTGGGGTATTCATGTTAAACTGCAGCATGGTATCTCAGTGAGCTAGCACTATAAATCGGCATCAGTCCGGACTAGTACAAGCAGCCACACACACACACACACACATACACGTGCATGCACGTCGCTATATAAGTGCGACGTTAAACCCCACTTCACCTCACCTTAGCTACAACTGCTGTATCTGTTGTAGCTCCAATATTGTATATAACAGAGACAAGAGTCACAACACTAACATCGGCTCTCCCCACCTACACCCCTATCTGAAGAGAGTTGCATTCAGGTAGTATGGGCAAAGGGTTGTTTGGTTGGTTTGTTGTTTAACACCGCAATCAGTAATATTCCAGCTATATGACGGCGGTCTGTAAATAATCGAGTCTGGACCAGACAATCCATTGACTGATATCATGAGCATCGATCCACCCAATTGGGATCGATGACATGCATCAAGTCAGCAAGCCTGACCACCCGATCCTGTTAGTCGCCTTTTACAACAAGCATAGTCACCTTTTACGGCAAGCATGGGTTGCTGAAGACCTATTCCACCCCGGTATCTTCAAGGGTCTATGGGCAAAGGGGTCTGAATCCAAACATGATATACAACTTGAAGGCTGATGGGATTCAAACCTCACTGTTACTCAAACATGTTTCCTGTATCACCTATCCAAACGTCATCACTGGTCAGTGACTTCCTCCATACTGCTAAGCATGAGACCGGGCCACCTACCTGGGGACACAGAGCCTCGATTTCAAAGGCGGCCATTCTGACCATCTTCACGCCTTCCTCGTTGTTGGACATGGAGCAGGCTAGATTTGCCACCTAGATAATCAGAAATAACACTGTTAAAGATTACATCATTCCAATTTATTATTTTCAAACACAAATTCCAAAACTGATCAATTTTGTTCATTTCACATAAATATCTGGAAAATCACTAAATAATTAGACTACTTAATATCAGCAATCTTGAAGAAACTTTCTCTTCTTAAGATAGACAACATTTTGAACAACGTCATAACACGTTTTGTTGGCCATCAAATTGTCGAATCACATGATGGGATTCGAACCATGGACCTCCTCATTTGAGGTCGGGCGCCTTATCCACATGACCAAACAGGTTAACCCCATCAGCATGATGACCTTTTAAGGATGTCATAAGTAGCATGACTCCACATCCTGCTACACGATTTAATAATGTTAATGTACACTTGTGTCAAAGTCTACTTACATGGGATTCAATAAAAATTACAAACAGTGTACACACCTCGACTAGTTTGTTGGCATGTTCTGAGAAGACCTGTGCATATTCCTCAACGCCCTTCTCGTCTCCTGCCTTGGCCGCCTCGATAAGGACAAGCAGTGGGACGTTGGTCTCCAGGAAGGTGTCCGACACATGGTCTACCACCGCCTTACGTAGCTGGAACACGAAAAAAATCAAGTCAACACGCTGCCAACACAGCAATCACCTAATCATTGACAGTCAGAGACTTGATTATTTGTTGTTTAATGCCCACTCAGCAATATTCCAGCAATATGATGGCAGTCTTTAAATAATTAAGTCTGGACCAGACAATCCAGTGATTGACATCATGAGCATCAATCTACAAAATTGTTATACGATGACATACATCAATCAACTCCGCGAGCCTGACCACTCGATCCCGTTAGTTGCCTTTTACAACAAGCATAGTTGCCTTTTTACGTCAAGCATGGGTTGCTGAAGACCTATTTTTACCCGGATCTTCAAGGGTTGTTCTCAAGCCTCAAGTCTGAAGGCTGAGATGTGTAACATTTCTATTGGTCTTGAAGGTTTTCCTAATGACAGTCCATACATGCAAGAGTTTGTTGTGATACGAGGGTAGTTAGCATTTTATTTCAGGTTGTATTCTCAACTTTTTCAGCTATGTATTCAAGATTCCTAGGAAAATAAATGCAGATGGACACACTGAAAATGATTTGGACCAACTCTTTAGATGTTCAGTTACTTTGAATTTTCCCTAAAGTAACACTTTTTCATATTTCACTGCAAATTGCTACTATCATATCCCACAACATTTCTCAGTGAAGAGTCAAAAGAGAGTAATAACACCATTGTTAACAAAAGGCTGTTGATATATTTGCATAGTGTAACGCCTCACCTGTCTGCGGAGATCCCGCGTCTTCTGGCACATGTTGTCAATAGCCTGGTCCAGAGATTCACTTGGTTCTTTCTGGCCAGCCTGAACACACAACATTAATAAGTCACCATCTCCAAAACAGAACGCACACAGAACATGCATTTCTTCGAACACACTTCAAACAAATCAAACAACATGAACAAAACGCTCTAATCTAGATATCTTTTAAAAGAGCAACGCATTCATTTCTACTCATTTTCAACTACAACTATGACATAAACCTGGAACTATAATATGGACATAAACCTTGAAAGAATGATAGACATAATATGAAGTTAAACATTGATAATCAATCTTTCTGCTTAATAAGGAAGAGAACTTATGGACATGATGGATGTGAACTTTTTTATGAGGAACAAATAATGATGATGATGATGATGATGATGATGATGATGATGATGATAATGTGTCCCTCATAATAAAGAAGTTCTCTTCCTTAAGTGTATCACTTCTAAATGACTTTCAAAGACTTCTTTTTTATTAGCAACACAACATCAGGTGAAGGAGTAAGTAAGTATACACTCCGAAACGTTGTGTTCCTCATAATAAAGAAGTTGACATCCAAAAATCCTCTTCCTTATGTGTATCACTTCTAAATGCCTTTCAAAGACCTTTCTGCGTAATGTTTCTTAAAGAGTCCTATTGTCCATGCTAGCATGCATGTGAAGTGAGTTTGGTGAAACTTGTCACAAACCTACATCACATTGTGGTGTGATATGCAACAAAAATGTTGTCATTCATCAGAACTGTCATCAAGCATGATCTGTAACCATGCCAGTATGCCTACTCTTGATCAACATGTAAATCCTATTCAAATGAGATCTATATCTAGGGAATTAAAGAGCTCAAAAGTCATGCCGTTGGTGATTTGAAGCTGACACCCATCCTATTCCCCCAACAACCACACTTAACTGAAGAAGAAATACACTCAAAGCAAAATAGTCAAGAAAATCATAACAAGGGTAAAAACTGAAACACAAAACAGCATTGTAGTGAACATGTTCCGTGTTCTGTATTGTACCAATAAACTTTATCATTATTCCAGTCTCTGATTGGTTGATGGTGATCATGTCGGCCATGTTTCTTAGTGGTTGCCATGGTTACTATTTCAGCAAAGCATAATCAAGTTACTTTTAATTACACTGTGCTGATTTTTTAGAAACTGGGTTATCACACCTCCATTGAGAAAATTCTCATTAAAAACATTTCAGTTTTAACTTTAAAACACTTGATAATGCCTAAACTAAAACATCATGACAATTTACAATTTCATAAATTAAATTTCAATTTTTAATAATATCACGTGACATATTTGAATATTGGTATAATATCACAACAAAAGAGTGCAAATCAAAGTCTATCTACAGTCTGAAATCCAGTCAAGACAAGTGGTTTAGTCAAGGTTAGGTACAGTTGCGACACAAGCCATGTCAACCAGTCTCATTCTGCAGGCACACTGGTGTTCAGGGGAGATAACTCCAGTCATGCCAAGTTACCTTGGCAAAATGGACAAAGGGCTTGGTCTGAGTGACTTTATTTTCTGTAGCCGGTGGTTTCTTAGTACACTGATACAACAGAATATACAAAATAGAGATGTTATGATAGTGACAGAAAGAAAGGATAATTGTGGTGACCATAGTGATGAAAATGGCAACAAAAAACTTCAAACTTAACAAATATAGAAATTTCAAAAGTTCATTTGTCAAACACTCCTATACCTGAAAAAAATATCTTCTTACTCAGAGAACAGGGTACACAAAAACATCAAAATACCAAGGAACCTCAGTTTAACAACACATACAGTGACACGAAATCCACAAGAAAAAATAGGTCAAATCATAACCTTGACCTCAATAAACAACCTTGACCTCAATAAACAACCTTGACCTCAATAAATAGCCTTGATGTTGTGACAACACTTACATTGTTCATGTACTCTGTGAGGAGATCCTGCAGCGCCTGTCTCACAGCGTTACACTCCTGTACAATCCTCTCCCTCCGCTCGTCACGAGTGCAGGAGGAGTCGGCCATGAGTGCCGCCCCACTGATTATGCTCTCCACCCTCTCCTCCAGGGACGGACGACTACGGACCTCGTTGTACGACAGTGGGTCCATGATGATCTTTTGCTGAAAAAGGAACCAGATATATAGTCACTGATTTTACTGAGATTATATTGTATATTTAATGGAAAGAATGGTAAGTAAATACTTATTCCCATACTGTAAGACCAAACATTATTTATTTTCCCATTCAAGGGCCCACTGTCCCTACTGAAAAGCAGCTGGAAAAGAATATTAAACATAAAAAAGATTTATTTTTATTACGTCTCCCGCTAGTAATACAGATCCTCTCATACACTATACAATGTTATACATAAATTCCATGTCCACATCACTATCAGTGATTCAAGAAGCCAGCTGCAGTTTTAACTCCATGGCAATATCATCAGCAGAAGCTAACACACAACCGTTGTATTATTAATCTTAACGCCAACTGCTAAGTTGTCCAATGTATGTAACAAACTATTCATATATGTTAGTCACACAATTGCTGTTTGATAAGTCATTGTAGACAGAAGGATATTTTGATGCTTGTTATTGCATAGTGATAGAAATTGTGGGGTGATGGAGTCTTTGAACTTTAATGCTGTGACATTTTGACATAGCGACCCCCCTTAAACTTTCAGTTGTTAATGGGGACCCCCCTTTAATTTTTTTGTAGCATTTAATTTATAACATAGACCCCATGACTAATTCTTAGTTTCAGACCCTGAAAAATGCATTCCCTGTAAATTCATGCACTGTCCAACAATACTAATGAGGAAACCGTTTTTGTAATCATATCTTGATAAGTAAATGGTTGCCATAGCTATTTGTTATTATTTTTATTGCGACTGACCTCTTGAGGAAAAGCTGGAATAAATCCTAGAAGCATAACATCAACATGTGTGGCCCTACTGTTTGGGGTCATGTCTACAGTATTCAAAACATAGACGAAAAAGGAATACAGGTACAAGAGTGATTGAGTGGTGTTTAACGATACTTTAAACAGTATTCCAGTTATATCGTGTGTCAGTATAAAGTGGGAGGAAAGCCCGAAGTGATGCAGGTCTCAGACGTTTACCACTCCGGTGAAACCCACAAGCACAGATATAGTGCTGACAAACCTAGAAACATAATCAGGGTGAACCGGGATTCAAACCCACAATCATATATTTTGGCGTGCCCAAGGGACAACAACTCTGCACAGCGAATTGCGGCGCCTTAGACAACTGAGCCACCCGTGACCCTACAGGTACAAGAAGATGATGCAAGACAAGGCAGTCAATTAAAAGAAAAGAAAATGGTATTAGATCATGCAAGCTTGCTGTCTACACTTAACAAACAGTAATGTTAGGATTCATAAATTATTCTGCTCCACAAACGACTTACATCCAGTTCATCCAGAGCCGCTGCCAGTTCCCCTGGTCCCTCATAGGGATGAGCCTTGGACGGACCTGTCTCCTGGGCAACCCCCGCTATTGTGCCCACAGCATCACACAGCTGCTTGTAGGCGTAGTCCCGGTTGGCTCGCGCCGCCGCCAGCTCAGGATGTCGTACATAAGCCTGGAATACAGGGAGAATCTACTTAGTAGTCATTGAGTTCAGGTTAACACTGCTTTAAAATATATCAGTTATATCATGAGATGCAGTTAGTCTGTGCCCAAAATGTTTGAGACTACTAGCATGAAAATGGATATTAGCATCTTCTAAGTAGATTTTAGGGTTATTAGATTGACTATTATCAGCTGAGCTTACCCGTCCAAACAGAATATTACAAGACTTGGCCTCGGACTAGTGGCCAAAGTCACAGACTGTGCATTGCTTAAGTAATCCTTTACACTGTTTAACACAATTTCAGATGATTATCCAAAATAAATAACAATGACTTTCTTGTTTGGAATCAGGAAAGTGAAATGAATTAATTTAAATTAAATGCTAAAGGCAGCAATATTTCAGGGGGATCAAGGCAGTCGGTACACAACTAAGCCTGGACCATGTGGGGAGACAAGTGATTTATAGATGATACACTCCCTCATCTACTGGACATGAAACACAACCATTCTTATACTGTCACATGGCATGTACCTCTGTAACTATCCACAGGACTGACGCAAGCTGAACACCCACCTTAGATGTTGTAAGCAGCATCATGCTGTTTTTCTTCAGAACAGCCCTTGCAGCCGCTAGGTCGTCACGGCGACGGGGATCTTTCAGGTCCTGCAAAACAAGTTGTATAAAATATACAAGTCATTATGTATATACCTTGTTATGCCAGTCATAGTCAGGAAAGACCAAGCTAACCACCTGCAAGTCGAAGTTTGTACTGAGAGTTATCATTTTTATGATGATTATCTGATGAAAGAGTTAATTAGTTTAATGTTGCTTTGAACAGTATTTCAAAGATCACTTGTCGAGTGAGTGAACTCATGTTCATAGGTTTCTGTGATCACAATACAACTCTGCACAGCCAAATGTGGCATCTTAGACCACGAACAGAATGCCCCGAACAGAATTTCAAGCAACCATCAACATGTACCAGTGGATCCTGGTACAACTAAGGGACACAAGCCTGTACAGCAAATTGAGGCACCTTAAACCACTGAGCACCTGTCCCCCCCTGCAGAAAGCACAAAATACATTATCAACTCACTGCTTGTCTCTTGGCAGCCTTCTCCGACAGCTCGTTGACGCTCTTGGTGAACTCCTTGAAGCTATCCATCAACTCCTGCTGACTTGTGGCGTTCTTGATGCGGTCAAGGTCATCCTCCACCTGCACATAGCAACAAGGTATTAACGTCCCATGTCACACAATGGGGTCTGGGACCCGTGAAGATTTCGGAGTGGAATAGGTCTTCAGCAACCCATACTTTCCGTAAAAGGCGACTTTGCTTGTCGTAAAAGGCGACTAACGGACTCGGGTGGTCAGTCTCGCTGACTTGTTTGATACATGTCATCGATCCAAATTGCGTGGATCGATGCTCATGATGTCAATCAATGGATCGTGTGGTCCAGACTCGATTATTTTACAGACTGCCGTCATATAGCTGGAATATTGCTGAGTGCGGTGTTAAACAACAAACAAACAAAATAATGGGGTCAGGATGAGTAAACAAACTCCATCTTAACATAATGTGAAGAAATAAGTTTCTTCCAGAATGTTTGTACATGACCACAACAGACTAACACCAAGAACGCCAGTCACATTTTAAAGGCCTTTGGTAAGAAGGCAAAAAGCGACAATTTCAAAACACAAACCTGATTTGTGATGACTGACGATGGTATTACTGATCTTTATGCTGAACATGCTAAAGCTTTTGACACAAGCCATATATCCTATCAATAACTGTACTTGTGTAATCATAAATACAACCCTAATTAATATGATTGTTTGTAAAGATATAAATGTAACAACAACAGGCATGAAAGTGAGTAAGAGACTTTACTTTAACGCCAACAGTATTTCAGAAGCCATGGTGATATCACAGCATGTCAGTTTGGTGTGGGAGGAAAGTCCAAAATGATGCGAGTCATCCACGAGCAAAGGTCTGTGCTGACAAACCCAGAAACTAAACACGGTGAATCTGGGACATGGATCCACAAACATAGGTTTCTGACATGCCGAAGGGACACCACTCTGCATAGCAAATTGCAGTGCCATAGACAACTGGGATTAGACCCATGTCCTTGGTAAGCATTATAGGAGAGTCTGGGATGTTTGTCGACTCACTGAGTGGAGGGACTTGAGGAGGAGATGGACATCCACCATGTCGGCCAGGATGAGGAGGCGTGTGACGGCCGACAGCAGACCTCGGGCTGCTCTCACCATAGCGCCACGCTTCATAGACGAACAGGGGTCTCCGGCAAACTCCCGCGAGGCCTCCCCCATAGCTTCACCTACAACAGACAACATGGATAACACATCCACGATGCGGGGCAACCAATTTTCAGCATAATTCACATGATTTACCATTTTCAGCTTCATGCTCGTTACCTTTCCCTCTAGTACTGACAAGACTGAGCAAAGTAGAAAGCAATTCTGCTATCATAATCATTTCAATATTATTGTATAATATATAATGTTAGGCTGAAGAAAATAGTCTTGGTTCTCAGGCACAGCCCACATCAACATAAAGTTCATCGCACAGTTCGTTTTTGTTTCCATTTTTTGTGTGCATTGTGTTTAAGTATTAGGTTTTAATATTTTTTCAAAATGGAAATAAAAACAAAACATGTGGCAGACTTTATGATGATGCGGGTGGTGCCTGAGAACCATGACTATTACTTTTTTTAGCCTTAAATGCATATTACCATGATTACATATTTGATATGACTGATATATGAAAGAATAACAAGTATTTGTCACAGAGTGACGAAATATCCCCCGCCATATACACCATAGTACCAAATATGAAGACAATCCAGCGATTAGTTCTTGAGATATTGTGGCAACACCGTTTTCCAATTCCAAAAACAGATTTGCCTGCTGTGACCTTGAAAATGGGGTCAAGGTCACCAAATCTGACAGGTGTATGCGGTGTCTGTATATACACTATAGTTCCAAATATGAAGACAATCCAGCGATTAGTTCTTGAGATATCGCGGCAACACCGTTTTCTAACTCCAAAAGCAGATTTGCCTGCTGTGACCTTGAAAATGGGGTCAAGGTCACCAAAACCGACTGGTGTCTGCGGTGTCTGTATATACACCATAGTTCCAAATATGAAGACAATCGAGAGGTTTAGTTCTTGAGATATCGCGGCAACACCGTTTTCCAACTCTAAAAGCAGATTTGCCTGCTGTGACCTTGAAAATGGGATCAAGGTCACCAAAACCGACTGGTGTCTGCAGAGTCTGTATATACACCATAGTTCCAAATATGAAGACAATCCAGTGTTTAGTTCTTGAGATATCGCGGCAACACCGTTTTCCAACTCTAAAAGCAGATTTGTCTGCTGTGACCTTGAAAATGGGATCAAGGTCACCAAAACCGACTGGTGTCTGCGGAGTCTGTATATACACCATAGTTCCAAATATGAAGACAATCCAGTGTTTAGTTCTTGAGATATCGCGGCAACAAACAGGTGGGACGTACGGACGGACGTACGGACGGTCGTGAATACTATATCCCCCGCTTCGCGCTTTCGCGCGGCGGGGGATAATAATATCGTCATACCATGATATCTGTGAAAGGAGCTAGAAGTTTAACAGCATATATCGAGCATACCTTCACCACATATCTTGCTGTCAATAAATGTCCACCAGTAAATTTCTAATGACACACTTCCTTGAATCTGTTATATGCATGCTTATAGCTTATATTGAGTTCCTTTCAACACGTAACAATATACCGCTGACTCGGGAGTGTAACCATGGTAACTACTTTTGAGACAAGACTGACCTGTGTTTCTAACTTCTTCAATGGCCGCCATCATGTCTGCATGGACCTCGGGGTTCTCCCTGGCAATCTCTTCTCCCCGCTCGATGAAGTGTTCGGTGGCTTTCTGTACAGTGGCACTGAGGACGTGGGCCTTCTTGGATCTGCCCTTCTTCTTACTGGAGGGGCCATTCTGGTTTACTAGTGTTGTCACCTGGTGATCATCAATAATAACTTGCTTCAACCTCTGTCAACTCCCATGTCTACTGATCTAGCATGCCTAATACTGGATTACCCATGACTAAACATGCTACATGTACAGATCGACTTACAGTTATGAAAAATATGATAAAGATTAATTTTTTTCCTAAGCATAAGGATATTATCATTATTATTATTATTATTATTATTATTATTAATATTATTATAACCAGATAACACAAACATCAACTTAACACTATTACAAATGTGATGAAAGCGTCACATTTAATTTTATGACATTTATGTACCTCTTTTATCAAACCTAAAGAACACTGCCATGTTAAACATTGACAAGGAAAGAGTAAGTTTCTCATCTGAAACTAATAAATAGTCACGGCAACATCTGATATCAATATTATCATTCAGATGTCAGAAGTTCAATGAAATAATAATAATCAGTGTTAAACTGTGACCTACAAAACTAGGGGTCTGGGGGCCCCTAATAATTATTTTCAAGGGTCCTTATGGGACAAATGATAGTCTTGTAAAGTAATAAAATGATGAAGTGAATTATAGTGTATGACTTGATAATTACATTAATAACATATTTCTTCTCAAGAATTCAATTCCCAATTGCGTGGATCGATGCTCATGATATTAATCACTGGATTGTCTGGTCCAGACTTGATTATTTAGACCGCCGTCATATAGCTGGAATATTGCTGAGTGCGGCGTAAAACAACAAACCAACCAACCAACTGTAAACTTGTGCGCACTGGACACGCATTTCTGGGCCCGGAAAACCCTGATGATACTTCATGGCTTTGAAAATGTCCTTGTCCATGTTGGCAAGAGCCTCCATGTCTGCCCCGTGTTTTCTTACCTGGGTGACAAGTGGTTCAAGGGTCTTCTCCACCGATTTTGTGCGGATTTCCAGATTTTTGGGGTCCCACTTGAGCTGTAGACTCCCAGGCATACCTGGAGGTGGACTGGTGGTCATCGTGCTGCAACACAGTAACCATGGTAACATCATCATGATCATAGTGGACAGAACACTTAACAATTACAACCTGCAAACTTCATGCTCATTCCATCCTCAATTATCCATGGCACTCAGAAACAACAGGGTTTATTAAATATCCACTACAAGAGAATCATGATACAACGAAGCCTTCATCAATTGAAATACATTCAGAACTGGTCATTCGATTTGTTTTCAAGATACAGAAGTCAGGTATGATGGTCTGACTGCTTCGCTCACTCATAACGGACATTTTGAAGGCTCAAGGGGTCATCAGATCTTCACTCAGAGAGGAATGGTATCAAACAAAAAGACCTCATAATGAAATTGGTTAGATCCGTAATTCCAAACTAGACACAATTAATGGATAACAACTTCTTTATTTACTGCAAAGGTGATGTTTTGGTATAGATCCTTAGACCGTTGCTTGACAACCAATAAATCGTGTAAATCAGATGATTGCATCACAGACTTACTCACCCTTCAACAAGAAAACAAGACTCAATATCTTTGACATGTCTTCAACAACTATCCAATCAGGCTCACTAACGTGATCAATTAATCCATGACCTCAGCATTGCATCCCCTCTTTCCGAACCGTCAGCACCCTTTACCATTAGCGACCCCTATACTGGCAGACTCGTTAAGCACCAGGTGGCTTCCCAAACCCTTCATCAGTTAACTCCAAGCCACAGAAAACCCACCCTCCCATCGTGTCCCCATGGTCCTCCTAAATCTGAACACGATGAAAGGTACAGAACAGGTGTTCTCAGAAATACAAACACATGACATAGGTGAGATATCAAGGTCAGGCTCTATACGAATCAAGAAACACACATACATGTACTCAGATCAAACTATTTACTCTTAATTTACTACCGAAAACTATGGCTATATCGAACTCAAAGGGACCACTAATTTTACTATTTTTAGTTCGAAATAACCATAATTCGTTATAAGCATATATTTCCGTCAGTTGGTTACAAGCGTGTTCGTTATAAACATAGTTTACTGTATTTCGAAACAAAACTATTAAGCCTTAGCCCTCCCAACCCATACCCTTCAATAGGGACACTATCACCACCTTAGCAAACTTCAAAAACTACAGCATGTACAGAATCCAGACAATCACTACGCAATATGATCCACGTACATCAATACTTATCGATCAAGGTACTACATCACCCCATCAATGCTTACTTCCCATAAGCATCATCATTGAGTACGCAAATATCACTTCAAACAACACTATTGGTACTTCCTACAAATCATCACTCTAGGTGCTTCCTACAAATCATCACTCTAGGTGCTTCCTACATATCATCTCTCTGGGTGCTTCCTACAAATCATCACTCTAGGTGCTTCCTACAAATCATCTCTCTTGGTGCTTCCTACAAATCATCTCTCTTGGTGCTTCCTACAAATCATCTCTCTTGGTGCTTCCTACAAATCATCACTCTCGTTGCTTCCTACAAATCATCACTCTTGGTGCTTCCTACAAATAATCTCTCTTGGTGCTTCCTACAAATCATCACTCTAGGTGCTTCCTACAAATCATCACTCTAGGTGCTTCCTACAAATCATCTCTCTTGGTGCTTCCTACAAATCATCTCTCTTGGTGCTTCCTAAAAATCATCTCTCTTGGTGCTTCCTACATATCATCTCTCTTGGTGCTTCCTACAAATCATCACTCTAGGTGCTTCCTACAAATCATCTCTCTTGGTGCTTCCTACAAATCATCACTCTTGGTGCTTCCTACAAATCATCACTCTTGGTGCTTCCTACAAATCATCTGTCTTGGTGCTTCCTACAAATCATCACTCTTGGTGCTTCCTACAAATCATCTGTCTTGGTGCTTCCTACAAATCATCACTCTTGGTGCTTCCTACATATCATCACTCTTGGTGCTTCCTACATATCATCACTCTTGGTGCTTCCTACAAATCATCACTCTTGGTGCTTCCTACAAATCATCACTCTTGGTGCTTCCTACATATCATCACTCTTGGTGCTTCCTACAAATCATCACTCTTGGTGCTTCCTACATATCATCACTCTTGGTGCTTCCTACAAATCATCACTCTAGGTGCTTCCTACAAATCATCACTCTCGTTGCTTCCTACAAATCATCACTCTAGGTGCTTCCTACAAATAATCTCTCTTGGTGCTTCCTACAAATCATCCCTCTAGGCGCTTCCTACAAATCATCTATTTTGGTGCTTCCTACATATCATCATTGGTGCTTCTACAAATTGTCTCTCTTGGTGCTTCCTACAAATCTTGTTCCAGAATCATAATTCAGTTGAATGTATTCAAAAAGTGTCTGTTTACACAACTTCATAATCATGATAATCCTCTTGTGCAGCGTGTATGTTCTTGCAACCCATCATGTTTTGGTCAATTCAGCTTGCTGTTCACACCTCTAATGCTTGACACAGAAACATCACAACAGTGTTACTATACAAATTGCTCATTATCATACATCATACTGGATATGACAATTGTGTCATTTGTGAACCATGTGTATCTTAATGAAACAAGCTACCTGTAAACTGAAATAGCATTGATGACAATTTACTGTCTGGCTAATCAACATCATCAATCAACATCATCAACGTGTTGCTTCACTGACAACACAGGTGACAAGACTTTTTTAGTGTCAATCATGATTTACTCTCTCACTCATTTGAGGTGCAACTGGTTCATTGATTGAATCATTATTGATTGTTTTATTATTTGGCTTGGCTATTGGGCACAGTATGATTCAAGTGACAGATCTTCTACTATCATGAGTCCACAAGTACACATCTAAACAGTCAAATTTTACACAATATTGTAGCAGAAAATGTGTTTAATGATTACTTGACATGACATTATTAACATTACTATTAGTTACTATTATTAACATTACTATAAGTTAATTGTCATGATTATAGTTGTTTTACTCTTCTGATGCAGCTAACCTTTCAAAATAATGTATTAATACCATTAATCCATGTCAATCATCATGATCAAGGTAAATCTGAAATCATAAATATAGTGAGTCAGGCTGCAACCCTAGATCTATCAGCAGACAATCTAGCGAGGCTGCACTTTGATTGGCTTCCGTAATTCCTTTCATATACAATCAGCCCTTTGACATATTGTCATCAAACAGTTTTTATTTTTCATTAAAGAGCTGGGGAAATAACACATCAAAGAGTTCAAAAGTTTTTAATTTAAAAATAAATTAGGCCTATGTCGAGACATTCCCTACAGGCTACATTTCATATTTGGACAGAAAAAAATAATATGTGACGTACACTAAAATGGTTATGTCTAAGCTAAATATTGTTCAAAACTAATGCACGCCAACTCAACATACATACGTAGCATAGTTTTAGGTTCATATTTTCCGTTGAAAGTTTGATAAACATGATTAACTTATCCATATAAGATATGAAGATCATACTATTTTCGGTGTTCAAAGATCATGAAGATCAATTGTTTCTTCACAAATGGAGGTTCGGGTCGTCGAGATCGTGTCATATTGACTCATCTTCTGGGTCCTGTTTGCAAAACAATAAATCTTACTCGGCATGTGGACTTCCTGATCACGTGTAGGCCTAGGCCTTGAAACCCACGAAATAATAAAACATTTTCTACTTTCTTAGACGCTATCAATTTGTCACTACTAATAATAAACACATGTATGATAATCGTAAGGGTCTGCCATTGTGGATCATAAAAATGCACCCATTTATTTTGCGTTTTATCAAACGCAACTATCCCAAGATTGTGTAAAGCCGAATTAATAGGAAAATGACAAGTGTCTGTGCGAGGCTTTTGTTACGGAATTTTCGACCTCATTCTCCGTAATATCAGTGATATATACGGGACCGTTTCGTCCACACATTATTCGATAACTTACCTCGGTTATGGCGTCAATGTATATCCGATCTAAGTCCAAATAACTGTATAATATGTCATCAAAATAAAGGTGTTCAAATACCTGACGATGAGTAACAGGGTACTTCCGCCAGTTGAGTGATCGTGCTCACTCCCTCGGCAACACACTTTTGTTTTCAATTAATTAAATTGCTGATCATTGTCGTCACACCGTTTTTAGATAAAATATTCTTAACTTCATGTAGATTCAATTGTGCCGATTGCGTACGTTATAAATCTTTATTTCAAAATATAACGTATTTATTTCAATTTTCACGGGAGGCGGAACAGCCGCACAGAGGAATGTTTAGTCACGTGACCGTAATGGAATTTTCTAAGGGAGGTAATCTGTAAATGACGTACATTTTTTAAAAATTGAAATGCTTGACAGTGAGGGATGTGTTCGAATCTGTGGAATGTTTGTTATTTGTTATTGTATAACACCACACACATCAATATTCCATCTATTTGAATTAAACCAGTGATTGATATGGTGAATCGTCCCAAGCCGTCGGGGTACGTTGACACGTACAAGCGTTTATATTACACATAGTAGCCTAGTAGTCAAATCGTTCTCTCGTCCGGGTTCGATTGCCCACATACATCCTATATATTTTCGAATCACAGTCTTGGCGTATCCCGTGGTGATAATGATATATTTCCACATGCAAAAAGCGCAATAAAAACATAATAAAAAAATGATGAAGAAGATACAGTAACCCTAGGAGACAGACCTTCCTCTCAGACCCAGTGAATCGCGGGGTATTCTGGGTAGGAATAGATCCTAATACCCAACACTTGCTTCAAATTCTCAATACAAACGCAGGAACCACTGGTATTTTCCTGATAGAGCAATATGGGTTAGACTGTGAGTGTTTTCTTGATGTTGAAAGGGTCGAAGTGCTATAAAATCGGGGTACACAGAAATGGTTATCAGTGCAATGGAAATGACAATTCCAACACTACAGACCCTTAATAAAACAATGAAGACTCAATATCGGGCGCGACTTCGGCAGGCCTCTAAGACACTTTGCCTGGAATGCAGTGCAATGCTTACCACCAATCTTCAAAGGCATTTGGCCGCTCCGTAAAATGGCTGGAGAACATGGCGAGAGGACTTCTGGATAAGACAAATTTGTTGATCTGGCGACAGGTGCCTAGCAGTACAATTTTTCTTAACTTCTTATAACGCCTTAAAATAAGTGCTTAGATGAATTATGTTTTCAGTGTATAAAAAATACTGCTCGCTCAAAACATTCACTTACAATTCCCAACGATGTAACAAAACTTAAATGTATGCACCTACATAAATGGTAGAAAAGGTCACTGTACCCTGGAAGGGTGAAGTGTACTTGCTGTGTTTTGCTGTTGTTGTTTTTTTGTGAGGGGAAATTGAAAAATCTCACCGAGTGATTTTTTTATGTGAAATATATCAACACGACGTTGTGTCGATAAAAGTTCAAAAATCCGAGGCTTGCCGACTTTTATCGTTGAGTATTCATACATACTCTTCAAAACAAGAAACTTGACATAGATGTAAAACCACTTTTTGCCAAATATCTAAAATAATTATATTAAATGAGAACCAGATAAGTCAAACAGAAAGATCATGTGTCTATAATTCGCGAAAACACATGCAAAGCACATAAACGTAGCGTTTGGGGATCAATTTTACAGCTTCATCCAAACGCAACCGCCTGTAAAAAACGTGCAGCACAGGATCCTGCATTTAGGCATGCAGGCCCCCCTGCTGAATGGGTATAAAAATCCACATCAACGGCTGTTCATACAGTCCTTATAACGGCAGTAGAGGCGGTGACAGAATGTCAAGACTGAATGCAGCTCAACGGAACAACGCCATTGGAAGATTACAAGCTGGAGCAACTCAGCAAGAAGTGTCCAGGCACTTTGGCGTATCCAGACAGACAATCTCCGCACTGTGGACCCGATACAACAACACAAACAGAGTTGACGACAGACCAAGGTCAGGAAGACCAAGGGTGACAACCCAAGCACAAGATCGATACATCCGGCTGCGACACCTCCGAGACCGCACTACCACAGCCACGTCTACAACCACAAAGATCCCTGGGGTACGCTTAATATCAGATCAAACGGTACGTAACAGACTGAGGGAGGCAGGACTTTTTGCACGAAGACGTGTTCGACGTCATGTATTGACCCCACGTCATCTGGCGGACCGTCTGCTTTGGTGCCAACAGAGGGTTAGATGGGCACGTGCAAGAAATGTGGAGAAATGTACTGTTTACTGACGAGTCCCGTTTCCTACTCACACGTGCTGATGGGCGCGCACGTGTCTACAGACGTCGGGGTGAACGTTGAACGGGGTTACGCCCCCCAACTGTGTGCAGCAGGTTGTCCCATTTGGCGGCGGGAGTGTCATGGTATGGGCCGGAATTCATCACGGTGGTAGGACACCTCTCGTGCATGTAGCAGGTGCATTGACAGGTGTGCGTTACAGAGACTTGATCCTACAGCCTTACGTTCTTCCTCACGTCAACGTTCATGGCGGACAGTTCCAGCAGGACAACGCTCGACCGCATATTGCACGTGTTTGTCAGGACTTCTTACAGCACAACAACATCCAGACATTACCTTGGCCATCCCGGTCACCAGATTTGTCCCCGATTGAGCATCTGTGGGACGAGTTGGATCGACGCGTTCGCAGAAGGAATCCACCGCCCAAAACACTTCCGGCGCTTCTTGATGCACTTCAGCATGAATGGCAGCACATCCAACAGCGTGTTATTGACAACTTGACTGCATCTATGGGTCGTCTGTGTCAAGCGGTGATTGATGCACGTGGTGGGCACAACCGATACTGACATTTTCTGTACCCCTGTGACATTAACTGTATTGTGTACGTGTGTCTGTCTAGGTGACACGATTAATGTTTTGAACATTGTGTACATTGATCTTCAAACAGTGTTTCAATTATGGTTTCTGTGTCCTATTTTGAAACAATCGCATTATATTACATTTTGAAAGTCAGTGTCAAGTTTCTTTTTTTGAAGAGTATATTTTATATCAAATGTTGGTTGGTTGGTTTGTTGTTTAATGCCGCACTCAGCAATATTCCAGCTATATGACGGCGATCTGTAAATAATCGAGTCTGGACCAGACAATCCAGTGATTAATATCATGCGCATCGATCTACGCAAGTAGGATACGGTGACATGCATCAACCAAGTCAGCGGGCCTGACCACCTGATCCCGTTAGTCGCCTCTTATGACAAGCGTAGTCGCTTTTTACGGCAAGCATTGGTTGCTGGAGACCTATTCTACCCCGGATCTTCACAGGTACCCGATCTCTAAAGTCACCTCTTACGACAAACAAGTGTTGGGGTTCAATTCTGTATCGGAGAACCCCGACGTGCCTGTCATGACTATAATCTCTTCCCCCCCATCACACTAGATGGGTCTCACATTGATATATATCATACAAGATGGGTCTCTTATTGTGACATATACCAGATGGGTCTCATATTGTGACATATATCACACCAGATGGGTCTCATATTGTGACATATATCACACCAGATGGGTCTCATATTGTGACACATATCACACCAGATGGGTCTCATATTGTGACATATATCATAATATTGTGATATATATCATACCAGATGGGTCTCATATTGTGATATATATCATACCAGATTGGTCCCATATTGTGATATATATCATACAAGATGGGTCTCTTATTGTGACACATAGCAGATGGGTCTCATATTGTGACATATATCATACCAGATGGGTCACATATTGTGACACATATCACACCAGATGGGTCTCATATTGTGACATATATCATAATATTGTGATATATATCATACCAGATGGGTCTCATATTGTGATATATATCATACCAGATTGGTCCCATATTGTGATATATATCATACAAGATGGGTCTCTTATTGTGACACATAGCAGATGGGTCTCATATTGTGACATATATCATACCAGATGGGTCACATATTGTGATATATATCATACAAGATAGGTCCCATATTGTGATATATATCATACAAGATGGGTCTCTTATTGTGACACATAGCAGATGGGTCTCATATTGTGACATATATCACGCCAGATGGGTCTCACATTGTGATATATATCATACAAGATGGGTCTCTTATTGTGACATATACCAGATGGGTCTCATATTGTGACATATATCATAGCAGATGGGTCTCATATTGTGACATATATCACACCAGATGGGTCTCATATTGTGACATATATCACACCAGATGGGTCTCATATTGTGATATATATCATACCAGATAGGTCTCATATTGTGATATATATCATACCAGATAGGTCCCATATTGTGATATATATCATACAAGATGGGTCTCATATTGTGATATATATCATACAAGATAGGTCCCATATTGTGATACATATCATACAAGATGGGTCTCTTATTGTGAGGCATACCAGATGGGTCTCATATTGTGACATATATCATACCAGATGGGTCTCATATTGTGACATATATCACACCAGACGGGTCTTATATTGTGATATATATCATTCCAGATGGTTCTCATATTGTGATATATATCATACCAGATGGGTCCCAACCTTCCTGAGGCAAGGGAGTTAACGGACTGTAAAAGTCCAGTTTCAACCCTTGCGGAACTAGGCTATAATGTCTGGGCTCTATCGTAGTGCCACCAGTGGTTATTATGAGTTATGCCCCTTCCATGTCCCTCCTATTGACCAGATCAGATTTCATCTCTCATATCATTTGCATTTGCTTCAAACAAAATGGTGGCACCCAGTCTAGACGAACTGATTGCTAATCAAAGTCTATTTTATAAAATAATGGGTCTTATTTTGTGGAGTGCATCTAATCACATGAGCACCTTGATCAAAAACATGAAAAGATTTGGAAAATATTTGTTGATGCAAATCCTGCAATTGACCGAAATCTGCATGGCAGTTTATGAATCAGATGTCAATCTTGATTGGACTATGCATAGACTCTGTAGTCCAGCCAAGAGATAACTCCTTAATTCCACCCTAGTTTGTCAGGGGTGGAAACTGGACTTTTACAATCAGTTAACTCCCTTGCCTTGAGAAGATGAGAGAAACTGAAGGTTCATCATTCTTTTGTACCATGGCATTAACATATACAAAGATCACTTGGAACTACAAAAGCAGCAACATGTGAAAATGGTTTATTGATTGTTACATATGGCCATATGCAGGTCATATCCATGCATGCATTACATCCTGAGTAATGAATCCTCGTGCTTGGGTAACACGTTCTACTATTGTTGATCTTGCAACTACACAATAATACTTCATTCTACAGCATTTGGCACAAGAAGTGAGAACATGTCAAACTAAGTATCAATGCAAGACAGTCCCTTAGAATATGTGCTCAGGGTATGTGCTTAGGATATGTGCTCAGTTGGGTATAATTCAACAAATATTAACCTGTAAACATAATGGGTACTACCTACAGCCATGACACGCAAGACTGCATTACAAACAATAAAATAACAATGCTGATTAGATTATGGCTCTGTTCATATGACTTAGAATATATAATAAGACACACAAATATCTTAATAGGATTGCTGTTCATTGCAGTCCTAGAAATTCATGATGAATTTTTATTGGTCAAACAATATGACCAATTTCACTCTTAGCATGCTCAGAGCATTGTTCAACATCATGTTACACAGTGCACTTGTCAGTCTCTTATCCAGGAATCGTCATAGCAACTGTCTGATAGCACCATGTGCTTGTCAGTCTCTTATCCAGGAATCGTCATAGCAACTGTCTGATAGCCCCATGCTCATCTCTGAGGAATGGACTAAATTCACTTAATTTATCACAGATGATGAAAACCATATTGTCAATGGCTCACAGTTCAATCCTGTTTCATTGGCAGGACAGAAATAAAAGACAGAACAGACACTAGCCAAAGGTACATCACTGATGTTACAGGAATGGTCTGAAGGGCGAGATTGTTTCAGATGACATCAACACCGCAACATGCTTCCAATGGCTTACAGTTCCAGATTTGAAATCAAACATTCAGTTGAAGTCTCTTCTAATGTAATGCACATCTGTACTGCTCCCAATGTGCATCATACTCTCATTGCTCCAGAACAGCTAGGACTCCACAGGAGTTGACGTCTGCTCTTCTCCATCTGCTTTTTGTCTCCTCTGCTGCAGAATGTAACCAATCTTGACCAACCGACTCAACTTGTCAACCAGCTTCTTCTGCGTTTCACCTAAATTAAGAAAAGACAACATTGAACCTCGTTCTCCCAAAATAAAGGATTATTAAATTCAAACTGCAGTAACCCTTGATATTTAATCATCACCATTATGCATTTTGCATGGCCGACTGATATTTCATACGTAAGAATATGATAAGACATAATAGTACACAAAGTGACATATGGCATCTGAGGTTTACTTTTTTTAACAGTAACAAACTAGTAGAAGGTTCAAAATATCGAATAACGAAACATCACTTTGACACACATAAAAATGTCACAGTTGGTCAAATAATAATACTGAACTTAAAAAGGTAAGGAATCACGAATATTTTGGGAGATATTTGTTGTAGTGATGACATAGCACATTTCATAACAATATTCCCCAAAGTATTCATGATGCCTAACGTTTTTGTTTAGTACATTTTCATGATTCAGGTGACGTAAATGTTTTGGTGACTGAAAGTTGCAAACATTGGACTCCAACCCTCTACTGATGCACCCCTTATCTCATGAGATGATGAATAACAGCTCCCCAATACAAAGAAATGTCGTAAGGCCTTCTATCCTGTTTTAGAATATTTTTCTTTTTAAGAAACCTTTTTTCACTAGTCTTCAAGATTTTGTAACAAGTCCTGCCTGAACATAACAAAAAAGCTTACTATGTTTACATTTTCTGTCAATTTTATCAGGTATATTCAGTTGCAATTTGTAGTAAAATTGTAGTCAGAATTATTGCCCTCAAATGCTACCAGTCGATGAGAACTACTATCACTGGACATGCTAGATATTTACTTGTTTTCAGCCCAATTTAGTGGTCTCAGGCCAGCGGACTGACATGACTTTCAAAGGCTGCTTACCCTTGAAATGTTTGTGGAGAGATGGTTGGAGGTTCAGGTTGAACCTGAGTCTGTCAGGAGCGACCACCAGTTCGTCCACCTGGACCATCTCCAGGACACGCTTCATCTTCTCCACAGCATGGTCCGTCAGTCCCTCCTCTCCAGCCTCTCTACTCCTCTCACCTTCAATATCTTCCTTTGTAGCATACTCTGAAGAATTCAGAGTTTCAGCAGAAGTATGATCCTTTTCATCATCTGAAAACTTCGGAGATTTAGCGGCAACAAATTCATTTGCAGTATTTTCTGAAAATACTGCTGCCTCCACAGCTATCTGTTGACTTTCATCACCTTCTGAAAACGTTGGAGTCTCAGCAATTCTCAGTATATTCTTACTCTTAGAGCTTGGATGATTAGATGTAGCACTGAGTCCTTTAATCACATGTTCCGTCTCTTCTTTCTTTCTTTTAACCCCTTTGTGAACAGATTGACTTCTTTTTCTCTTCTTTGTTTTCCTCTCTACAGCTTCATCAGGTTCCACACTGCCCCCATTGCACAGATCTGTGCCCTTAGTCTCATCCTCGACGAGGAAACTGATTCCAGGGTCAGTTTCCTTGATTCTCTCTGAAGTTTGATGTTGATGGCAAGATTCATTTGTCACTATCTCCAAGTCATCCTTTACTTTTGCGTTTGACCTTCCAGCTGATTCAGCTGCCTTGACCTCAGTCTCTTGGCACAGAGGATTTCTTTTCCCAGGCTTATGATGACGCAGAGGATTTCTTTTCCCAGGCTTGTGATGACGCAGAGGAGGACTTCTTTCAAGAACTTTTACCATTTGCATTTTGGTATTGTCCTTTTGAGCCACACATTTATTCAAATCTTCTGAACGCTTTGGTTGTTTCTCTGATGCAGCTGAAAACTTCCTCCCATTTTGATTCTGAATGAAAGTTTGCAGCTGCAAGTCAAGCTCTGCAAAGATTTCAATCTCCTTCTCAATACTATTGTTAGATGTTCCAGGTAACCCGTCCTCTCCTCCATGGGGCAGACCACTAGAGCTTGAATAATCTGTATCAGAAGCAGACAATCTTTCACTATGGCCACAAGTGTTATGAAAGTTAGAGTTTGAGCTCTTTTCAGAATGGCGCTTTGCCAATTTATCACCCTGAACACACATAGCTGGGTGGTTATATTCTCCAGGGTCTTGCAGAACTGTAGGCTTACAGCCTCCATTGGTCGAGTCATTATCATCTTGTGAATCAGATGATGATTGAGAGCCTCCTGAACCGACTGACTCAAATGTGTCAGAACCCATGGCCTCGCCTTCAGCAGGGGTGTTACTGGTATTCTGTGTTGCCTGCAACAATGGTGAGTCTTCTTCTGTATCACCACCAGAGGCCTCACCTTCAGCTGAGGTGTCACTGTTAATCTGTGTTGCCTGCAACAATCGTGAGTCTTCTGTATCACCACCAGAGGCCTCACCTTCAGCTGAGGTGTCACTGTTACTCTGTGTTGCCTGCAACAATAGTGAGTCTTCTTCTGTATCACCACCAGAGTCCTCACCTTCAGCTGAGGTGTCACTGTTACTCTGTGTTGCCTGCAACAATCGTGAAGCCTCTACTTCCATATCAGAATCAATGGCGTCGTCTTCAGCACTGTTACTCTGTGTTTCCATCAACAATGGTGAAGAATCTTCTTCTGTATCAGCACCAGTGGCCTCTTCAGAAACGTTCGATCCTCCATCCGTACTGGAGTCATCTCCAGGCACAACTGATCCTGAATCATTGCAGGGCTGATTGTCACCAGTCACTGGTCGAACCTTGCAGCTATCACCTTCAGTTCCATCTTCCTCACCACCAACATCGTCATCAATAGCTTCAGCAACGCTGGCCAGCACTGACAAGGAACTGGGGGAGTTTGACTTGTCCAAATGACCATGAGTTACAAGTTTCTTGTAGATATTGGTGATAACTGGACTTATCACACTTGGAGAGGTTATTGACAGCCTTGTTGGTGAAGAAAATGGAGTGTCAAGTGATTTTGTAAGGGATGTATTAGATGGTTCTGCTTCATTTGTTTCACTGGACTGAGACATATTAAAGCATATAACCTGCTCTAATCCAACTCCAGAAGTATCTGTTCTGTCGGCTTCATCATCTAATGGTGTCATTCCAGACGTCTGCTCTGTTTTGTCGCCTTCATCAACTAATGGTGTCATTCCAGACGTCTGCTCTGTTCTGTCGCCTTCATCATCTAATGGTGTCACTCCAGACGTCTCGGCTTCATCATCTAATGGTGTCACTCCAGACGTCTGCTCTGTTCTGTCGGCTTCATCATCTAATGGTGTCACTCCAGACGTCTGCTCTGTGTTGTCAGCTTCATCAACTAATGGTGTCACTCCAGACATCTCGGTTTCATCATCTAATGGTGTCACTCCAGACATCTGCTCTGTTCTGTCGCCTTCATCATCTAATGGTGTCACTCCAGACGTCTCGGCTTCATCATCTAATGGTGTCATTCCAGACGTCTGCTCTGTTCTGTCGGCTTCATCATCTAATGGTGTTACTCCAGACGTCTGCTCTGTTCTGTCGCCTTCATCATCTAATGGTGTCACTCCAGACGTCTTGGCTTCATCATCTAATGGTGTCACTCCAGACGTCTGCTCTGTTCTGTCGGCTTCATCATCTAATGGTGTCACTCCAGAAGTCTGCTCTGTTCTGTCGCCTTCATCATCTAATGGTGTCACTCCAGAAGTCTGCTCTGTTCTGTCGCCTTCATCATCTAATGGTGTCACTCCAGACGTCTCGGCTTCATCATCTAATGGTGTCACTCCAGACGTCTGCTCTGTTCTGTCGGCTTCATCACCTAATGGTGTCACTCCAGACGTCTGCTCTGTGTTGTCAGCTTCATCAACTAATGGTGTTACTCCAGACGTCTTGGCTTCATCAACTAATGGTGTCACTCCAGACGTCTGCTCTGTTCTGTCGGCTTCATCATCTAATGGTGTCACTCCAGACGTCGGCTCTGTGTTGTCAGCTTCATCAACCAATGGTGTCACTCCAGACGTCTGCTCTGTTCTGTCGGCTTCATCAACCAATGGTGTCACTCCAACCGTCTGCTCTGTCGTGGATTCTATGTTTTTAGCACTCTCAACAGAGCAAGCTTGAGAATGGTTTCCACTTCCTGACTGTTCAGCATTAGTTAAACTATCCACTTGAGAAACAGTTAAACCTTTTTGGCTCTGATTTAAAGAGATTGGTGAGCCTCTTTCTACAGGAGGACACAATTCAGATCTCCCTTCCGATATACCAGAGTCAACACTCTTTTCAGAACATGCTGAATAAGGGCTGATGGTTTTCAGGGAGTCCATCAGATTAACTCCACATGGCGGAGTTACGTTCTGGTTCTCTTTCTTTTCCTTGACAGGCGATACCACCAACATACAGTCCTTCAGCTCATCAATCAGACACAATGCAGTACATTCATAACGTTCCCCACTCTCACTCTGGACCATGATCACCTCACCACCAGGTTTGGTCACATGACCCATCTTGCTTGGTGACAAGAAATGTTTTCTCTTTGGTGATCCCAAAGAGTCCTGGAAGAAGTCGACAGGCATGGAGAGAAGATTTTCCTGTCCATCTGAGACACGATTGTTATCGTGCATATCAGCAGTAGAGACAAGTGTTGGTTCTACAGTCCTCACGTCCTTGCACACAGTCGTTACATTTGTTGTCACATCAAGTCCTGGCACAGCTTGAGGCTGAGTTTTTTGTTCAGACATGAGTTGTTGTAAGTTAGAACATTGCTCAAAGGAAGAAGCCTGGAAACTCTGGTTACAAGATGAACCAATTGGATCACTTTGCCCAGTTTTGTCCAAATCAGTGGTATACGGACTCGTATACGCCACCTCTCTGATCTCCTCAGCAGCAATACTAAGGATATCAACCCTATTCTGTGCAACAGTTGGTTGTTTCATGACTCTAAACACAAGTCCACTTTCACTTTCATAATCTGTGAAATTTATGTTCTCCTTTGCAAAATAATTACCGCCAGGAATCTGTGACATCTCACAACAGAAAACTGTCTTGGCCAGCACTGCTGGTCCCCTTTCTCCCGAGTTTCTCCGTGTCAGTAATGAACGGCTTTGAATACCAAGTTCAGAATTAGAGGGTCTTGCATAAGTGGTTGTATCTCCACCAACCACTATCTGACTAGAAGCATCCAAGTTCACACCCATCTGTTCAGTTCTCCTTTGAACCAAAGTTTGAGCCTGACTTAGGTTTCCACTATTTATAACACCACCTCCGCCAACTACCCTCTGACCACCATTTGCATCAAAGTTCAAACCCATCTGCTCATCTGTTCTGGTCCTACTTTGAACCAAAGTTTGAGCCTGACTTGGGTTTCCACTATTTATAACACCACCTCCGCCAACTACCCTCTGACCACCATTTGCATCAAAGTTCAAACCCGTCTGCTCATCTGTTCTGGTCCTACTTTGAACCAAAGTTTGAGCCTGACTTGGGTTTCCACTATTAATAACACCACCTCCGCCAACTACCATCTGACCACCATTTGCATCAAAGTTCAAACCCGTCTGGTCATCTGTTCTGGTCCTACTTTGAGCCACAGTCTGACATAGATTGAGGTTCCCATCACTTTTCACTCTGCCTCTACAAACTAGTATTTGACCCGTCGTTGCATCAATTTTGACAACCATCTGGTCTGGTGGCGTTTCCCTAACTTGAGTTGCACTTGAATTGGTTGTCCTGACTTGACTGTTGTGTACCTGGTATTCACATGAAGGAAGTGCCCTGTTAGGTTCTGTCAAAATCTTTTCGGTCTCACCACCCCTGTCATCACTCAGAAACTCCTCCACATATTTTCCCTGGGCAATCAGCGCAAGTACCTTGTTCTTCTCCAGATACTGTGTGTTGTTCATCTGGCCCACTGAAAAACAAGCAATACATCTCAAGTTCTGCACCGAACACCAAACCTGGCCGTTTACAAGTTCCGGAGGGTACGCCCGTCTCTGGAAGAAGTGACACACCGGCAATGGAGCCTCCATGAAGCACAGATCCAGACTTTTGACAAGGCTTACAAAATTCTCCCATGGAAACTGGTAGAGATGTACCAAAAGGTGCCGACAATTAACATATGACACGTCACCTTTACGGAAGGCTGCCACATTTTTCTCAGCAACCTTCATATGTCCCACTTTCACATTCTGCATTTTCCCATCTTCTCTGACCATGAATGACGTCTGCTCCATGTTCTTTGTCTTGTTCACATAATTGCTGACCTTGGGTATCTGGGGTTGCGGTACACTTGGTGACCCGTTTGCTTGAAAGCATAAAGCACATTCATACCTCTGAGTTGTTGCTTCAATTGGTCTCTGTTCCACTTGTAAACACAGGGGGCAGACGTAATCTTGAGTCTGGTTCAACTTGGACACCTTGGGACATGAATGTCCGAGAGCTAAGCTGTACCAAGGACACTGAGAGACTGCAGTGTTGAATGCATCTTGCTGCTGGGCAGCTTGAGTTCGGTATATCCACCTTAAGTGATCTAGTGACACTAACCGTGCATTCTTGGAGTCTTTCACTCTTCCTCTCTGCTTGAGGAATTCCACTTCTGTTTTAGCTAAGGGAAGCAGACGTGACTGACTTCGCAACAGAGATGAGAACCTTGTGAAGTTGTGTATCATATTTTTAGATTTCAATTCAGAAACACTGACGTAAAGTTTACCATTTCTTGCAAATGAGGCCAGTTGGTGTTCTCTTATTATCACTGAGCTAACATGAGGAAGCCTCACTGGTAATCCTTGATAAGAAATAGTACATGCTTTAGCCATGTCCTCAGTGAATGTAGACATCTGACAGTCACAGTAAGGCTTGAGCACCTCTTCCTGCAATGGTACTTCCTTTGTCTCAACTCTCGGAGCAACGTCTATCTGAGGCAGCCTACCCTTTCCAGTGTGGTCACCACAAGGTATGGGTTCAGCTGGTGCTGTTAGGATCACTCCATCAGCTTCATGTTCCCTCACTGGCTGCTGGTGATGAGACACAGACAAGAAGGTTCTAGTCTGACAATCTCCATGTTTTTGTGTTAAGTCATAATTCACGAACACTGGACACTGGGAATCACTGTTGTCTGTAGTATCATTACCACCTCCATTACCAGACGACGGTACAGAGAGTCTGCTTTTTGGAAGTGTAATCCTTCTTCCACACTGAGTATTTGTTTGTGCTAGTTCATTGTTTTGGAATGTGTTCAGGCAACTAGTGCCAACTTCACTTCCTGCTTTTCCTTGGACATTATATGGATGTCGACTGCTAGCTGTAGGGTTCACTGAGGTAGATTTTACACAGTCTACTTTTGTCTGTGGTGGTTTCGAGGTCTGAGATACAGTTGATATAAACGTCCCAGGCATTGGAACATTGTACAGAGAATACTCACGACGCTTTTGTTTTTGTCTTGAACGTACAACGATGGGACCATTATTTATCTTTAACATGAACGTATTGCTACTATCCCTATCTGGCACCAGCGCAATGGTTGGAGTCGTATGGCTGACCAGCATCCCTTTTTCCTTGACAGCGTTCTGTTGACTCTGACTGCATACTTTAAAATGTCCGTTCCTGTTCTTCCCACTCACATCACCTGCTGTGTTTGACGTTGGACCATGGTCATATTTTTCTGAAATTCTATCCTCACAACAATTGCTTCCAGACGACAGAAAATCAGTGTCACTAGCCATGTTCTCAGATCTTTCTGCACAAACTTGGCCTCTTCTAAGTGAGACAGCAACACTCTCGGAACTGCCGTTACAAATATTGCTCATACCATTAGGGACCTGCTTTTCAGGGGGACAGCCATGTTGGACTATCTGGCACGAGTTGGCATCAAAGTTCAAAACTCCATTTTCATCCAGTCGTAATGTGTGAAATTCTGTTTCTGGGTTCTGGCAGACGCCGACATTATCACCAATCATTGATATGACCATGTCATTCTTCAAAGGGTGTCCACCATTGGTTGACCCCAATGAGATGGAAGCCCCAGAGTGATGGCTAGCCATCTGTGTGTAGGACTGGTTGTCAACATAGCTAACTATGCTCGCTTCTCTAGCTGCGCCTGCGGACATCTTGTCGGGCAATCCGTCTGGATGTGGCACAGTTTCATTCTCGTAGGAACATCATAAGAGTGTCTGAAAAAATAAAAATAGGCCTGTTACTATGGTTACTAAATAACCAATAGCCAAAGGATGTCATAACAGTTTAGAGTGAGTGAGTGAGTATGGTTTTACGCCGCTTTTAGCAATATTCCAGCAATATCACGGCGGGGGACACCAGAAATGGGCTTCACACATTGTACTCGGGAATCGAACCCAGGTCTTCGACGTGACAAGCAAACGCTTTAACCACTAGGCTACCCAACCGCCCCCATAACAGTTTAGAGGAATTTGATGTTTTGAAATGATACTATGAACTGTGTGCAGCTTAAGTGATTTGGAAGGTAAACATGCTGTAGTTTCAATACTATAGATTTGATGGTGCTCTATTGAATTTGGACTTGAACTTGCAGTGTGAGGTTTCAAATGTTATATTTAGCATTGTCTAATCTACAGGTAAATATAGCTCCACAGTGGAAACAGTTTGATTATCATCATTGTACCATGATAAAACTCAAATATGAATTCTTTGGTGTCTGCAAAGATAACAGTGAAACAGCATGAGTTGAGTCCAATGTTTAAAAACCACTCATAATGTAAAAAATATAATTTCACAGAGATAAAGAACACAAACTTGCAAGCACTCTGTTGTCTCTCATATACTATCTTACGGCTCCATCATGATTTCTTCCTAAAATATACTGCAATGAATGCCACAGGCATAAAAAAAAAGAATTAAATTGAACATTATAGTAAAATCAACTCTGCATTGTATGACCTACAATATTAGTATTTATTACATAATCTTATTTCCAAATGCATACCGACAATGATTTAGAAAGACATACGATTAGAAAAGCAAAAGTTTCAGCAGTTATGCGGGCATCAATTCATCTTCTTCAAAGAGAGGTGATACTAGCTTGGCTATGCCAATACATTACCCTATGAACTGTATAAACCAGCAACATTTGGTATTCAAAGTACATGGAGGTATATAACAAAACAAATATACATTGCATTGACACTGTCACATCACTGATTGGAAGGTTTTAGTTGGGCATGCAACAATTCATTGAAAATACTGAAAATCTGTTGTTTAACATGTTTAATGCTGCACTCAGCAATATTTCAGCTGTACGACAGCAGCCTGTCAATAACCAAGTTTGGACCAGACAATCCTGTGATTCATATTGTGAACAATGATCCACGCCATTGGGGTACAATGACCAGGGGCACGGGTGGCCCAGCCGTCTAAGGCGCCGCGATGCACTGTGCAGAGCTGCATCCCTTGGGCATGTTGGGCACGCCAGAAACCTAGGATTGTGGGTTCGAATCCTGGTTCGCCAAGATTATGTTTCTAGGTTTGTCTGCACCATACCTGTGCTCGTGGGTTTCCCCGAAGTGGTAAACATCTGTGACCTGCATCACTTCGGGCTTTCCTCCCACATTAAGCTGACACGCCGTGATATGACTGGAATACTGTTAAAAGCGGCTCACCAAACTCACTCACTACAATGACCATCCTCCTGATGCAAGGGACTAAACTGACTTTAAAAGTCCAGTTTCTACCCTTGCCGGACTAGACTGGAATTTCTGGGCTCGATCGGAGCACCACCAGAGGCTCTTACGAGTTATGTGCCTTCTATGTTCCCCCTACTGACCAATCAGATTCCTCCTCTCATATTGCTTGAATTTGTTCAAACAAAACGGAGGCGCCCAGTTATGACGATCTCATCGATAACAAAGGTCTTTATTTTAACAGGTTTTACCTCGCGGAGTGCATCATATCACTTGAGCACCTTGACTGAAAACATGAAAAGATTTGTAAAATATCCGTCAACGCTCAATTGAAGGTACACATGTTTAGCAAATTCTGCAGTAAAACAAATTTGACACGGCAGTTGCCATGTGGTTAATGAACCGGATATCGATTCTGATTGGACTATGCATGGACTCATTAGTCCAGCCAAATTATAAAGCTCCATAATGTCCAGCCTAGTTCGGCAAGGGTGGAAACTGGACTTTTAAAGTCAGTTAACTCCCTTGCCTCGGGAAGATGTACAATAACATGCTACCAAATAAGTCAACAAGCCTGACCAATCAATTCATTTTGCTGCCTCTTACGACCAACACAGATTGCAGGGACCTATTTTACCCTGGATCACCACTGGGTTCAATGTATTGACAGGATATTTTTCCATGTAATTCCGTGTATGGTCATTTTAACCATAACCCTGATTGACATTTTCATCATTATGTCTCAGTGCCCACCTATATATATGGCAGACGACAATTCCAAAATGCATGTTTCTTATTTTTGACAGCATCACACAAACACGTTATGGCCTATGTGGCATACACATCACATACGTAATGCTATCATATAATAAATCAGCTGATCATAACTGACAGGAAACTAAATTGGGTGAAACAAGTGCTGTTCCACACACCACACACTCGTAACATGCATATGTTGTGACAGCATATTGATTTCGTAACAGCTTCTGACACTTCCGGTTTGCTGCTGGACCATAGAACTGTAGAAGTCACACGTGAACTTTTTTTTTTTTTCGGTCAACACGCAAACCTATTATCAGTTTCTCCGTATACTAAAACGCAGTATTGATATGCGATGAACTTGAAACATATCAGTACCTGTTACAAAATCGATGGCTAATTAATCCAACTGTTGTTTATTGTCTTGTCAAACAGGCTTGACGTATCCTTCGATCTCGTCAATCTCATCTGTAAAATGGTTTCATCCCGCGCCATGTTTAAAATGCATGGGCTAACCATGATTATCTCCCCTTTGTGCAAGAGGTCCCGTGCTGGTTATATTTTATGACGATTCATTTAGATGCGTAACAGTATCACAATCAGACACATATTTTCTTTACTGGCGATACGGTGATTTCATTTGTAGAATCCTGATGTCGATCTATGTTAGTGTTCGCGATCGATGCATCATACATAGCCTGTAAAATCATTAATGGTTTATCAACATAGTATACGCCTATGACACTGTTTTATATTACCCGCTCTATATATCTGCATATATACACCTAATGTGGAAATGGACGGTATCCACCGATAGATTGAATTTATTAATTAATGAACGTTTTGATAACGGGACTTCATGGCCTTTTTCATCTGAAGTAGATCCTTAATAAAAAGAAAAACAATAATGTATGCTAAGACGGACGAACATGCTACAATGTGAATGCTGTTGAGCGATGTAGTTATGGGATGCTCATGTACTGCATGTTTTGATCGGAATTCCCATGATATCAAAGACATATTGAATTTTCTCTTTTGGAGTTGATATAGATTGCATAAGTATCAGAACATTTATAAATATATGTATAATAAGATATAAAACAATTGCGAAAGAGTTTTTAAAATATTACAATGAAAACAACCCGCGAAAATGTTCAAAATCAATCGAATTTACAGATTATGTCCACACGCTTCTAATATTCCGTCTTCCTGGGAGTGTATGTATCGTGTGTATATTAATTTATATAGACTTTCTTTAACCTACATTATACATGTAGGGGTGGGGGTGGTATGAAAAATCATTTAGTGCCTAGCGAGCTCAAGAAGAAACACGTCTTTTGTCTGATTTGATTAAGGCCATATAGCTGAAATAGTGCGTACACAAGAATTTATTTATTTATTTATTTAAACAATCATATTATTACTTCTTTCAGTGGCATTTAGAAGTTGGTGTGATGAAGTAAGACGAGTTCTATGGACGTCGCACTAATTGTAATAAAGAAGTTGTTCATCCATATAACTCGTTTTACTTAATCATATTATTCTTTATGAAATAGCACTTGGCGCAGATCCATTTTGCATTCTTAAATATTCTCAAGACGATTCATTGTTTTTAATATGCAGAAAACGAATAATGTCAACTCACTACAGCAACTTACAGCAACTGTACTTTACTCAGAAAGTGTTATCTCAAATATAACATTTGACCACTTTCTAAATGGCATTGTGTGTTCATAACATTACAGCACATACGTATATTTTTTATTTCCTTACTTTTTCGAGATTTAAATAGCTATATATTTACATGGATGTGCCACATAGAGAAGTCAAATCTACGTGGTGTTTTTTTTTTTTTAAATGTGGTGCCAACTCTCATTTTACAAAACAGCCACAAAATGTCAACGACAGGTGCCCGTACGAGTTATCTGCCCCTGGTGATGTCGTTAACCTAGCGTAAACGGGTCGTGATATCAACACGAGAAGACGTCTAATGACAACTGTCACTGCTTTAAAGGATAATTTCTGACCAGAAACACTGACAACAATGGACGAACCGATGGAGGATATGCAACCAGATTCTACACAAGAAAGTCAATCCTCAGAAACGACAAGGAAAGCGTGTGCTCCTCTCTTGAGACCAGGGAGTATGGGTAAGATTAAAGATGACTCGTGGGCTCCATTTACGACTTCAATATCAGTCGTACACAAACAGAAAGACAGAGTTAATTGACAATATCGAGTCTCAGGGGTAACAGGTTATTTCGTTTCTCGATAGATTCGTGTCTCTGCTGTTTCGTCACCTCTAGTCTAGTTCTTTCCAGTTTCCTTACTGATGACAATAAAATTGTGAATGATCAACAACGACCTGTATGTGCAGTCAGTTTCTTCGATAACATATTTTATTGCTTTTATTTATTACTTTAAGAAATGACTTATGTGTGATGGAATAAATCGTTTGTGTCACAAAATGAGTGATGGTCGAAGTGACAAGTAAATTTGTGTTTGTACAATAATGACTCAAACACCAGTTAAAATACATGAAACATATGACGAGGTACGAAACTGACGAAGGGATATTAAACTGACAAGATGCGAAAAGAACTAGAGGTGACAGAAAACCTGAGATACAAATTTGCTGGGATACGAAATAGGATGAAACAGTCTCAGGCAGAGTATTATAAATAGATATGTTCATATGAATTTTAAGTATGACTAATCAAATTACCCGAAATATTATCATGATTATACTCTGAGACCTCTAGTCCAGCTAAATATTGTATTTTAATTTTTTTTAGTACAGACGTTAATACCATATAATTCTGTGTACAAAGAGATCTACCCACATTAGTTAAGCATGCAAAAAAAACAAACCATAAGGCAATAACTTCTACAGACATATTTGAGACGTGATGCCAAATGCCCACGTTAATATGGCCAGGCTTTTGTTTTACTGGGTCATCAGAGGGATTATCTATTTCTACTCAGAGCTCATATTCAGCCCCAAGGTAGCAGCACATATCAGTATGGAATACCAAGTTGGAAGAAACAACTTCCCAATTCATGCTGAAATTATAACTGTTATAACTAATGTTATCATGAGTATGGCTTGTCAATACATAGGGGTAGCCATCCGGTCAAAAAATGCAAAATTGAAATACAGTAGAGGACAAATGTACAAAGTAATAGTCAAATGTTACAAATAAAGGTCATGCAAACAGTGAATTCAAAATACAAAAGGATACCAATGAACATCTTGCAAACAAAAGACATCATATGTCTAGAAAGGACAATGTGTGCTAAAGAATATGAGTGCACAAAAAGGACACTTAACTGCTAAAAGACAAACGCTGAAAAATAAAGAACGCCAGATGGCACTGCAATTTGTAAACATTCCAAGTTTAATCGGCTTGTCCCACCATGTGTATCATAAATGCATGCTGAAGTGCTCAATGTATTGCATCATTACGTACCTACATTTTTTTCTGTGTCAATGCAAGACGATACACTTGCTAAAATAAATTACTTACTACTTGTTTAATGACCCCCACCCCAGCGTTTTTGTCAGTCACATACTGCAAAATGTGTTGTATTTAGCGTTTGAAGTTCACTTCTAAAATAGCCGCTACGAACATGTGTTTACAGCCAGCGCTTCCGTTGGAACCTGTTCTGAAATATTAATTATGAAGAAGTTTCCATGTGATTTGACTTAAATATGCATTTCAGAGATAGAAACTAACATTTTAGTCCACTAGTCCTTATAATGATAACATACAGCAAAACCCTTAACAATGGCAAGTTTCTACTACTCAGCTACCACTAGTCCTTATGATACCTTAACTATTGGGCAATTTGGCAAGGACGACAGGACTAGTGCCATTTTCTTTCGCTGCATAATGGGATACATATTGTATTGTGGCCTATGTATCATGATGCTTGTTGTATTGTGACCTTGCTGTATTGTTTCACCCCTACAACCCTGTACAACCTACCCCTATGATATATGACTGGTCCCTTAGCCTTACAAGTATGCTTGTTACCACATTTTCTTGAGTATAGTGCACACCCGAGTATAATGTTCACTTCCCTCTAGCGGATTCAGTATTTTGGAAGAAAAAAAATCGAATATTACGTGCAGAAAAAATTACACCGTACCCCTTCAGCAAATTCTGGTAAACAAACGGGTAATGAGAAACTTGGTCAGTACAAATTAGAAATTTGAGATAAAAAATCACCAGACATGTTGATTTACCATTTAAATAGTATTTTCTCGTAAACTAAGCCGGAAACAGCAATAAGCTGTACACACGTTTTCTTGGAATCTACCAGTGATTCAGTCAAGACACACCCAATGATATAACTTTACAGGATTTTAATGCGAGGATCGGCAAAAATTGTATCTGAAACTATTTTTTTATCAGGAATAATATATTCCAGAATCTTGTTATTTTAGTTGCAGCTATGACTAAATATATTTAAAATATTTATAACCCTAAGCGAAGCAGCTGATCGCTATTGCCAGGCATTATTTTTCACATAGAACCAGTTTGACCAGTCACCGTCGAGGCTCCTGCTCACGTGATCGCAAGAATGCGGTATGCTACATGTATAAATAATCAGGATAATCCTATGCTTAGGACAGTTGACCATTTAGAAATAGTTTTAGCATCACAAGTTGGCCCATGTTGACAAAGTGAGATGGGTGGTAGCCGCTCACAGCTCAGTAAGGGATCTGATGGAATCCTTGAAGATGGAACCTGTGAAGCATTAATTAAAATATAGCATTCACTTGTCAGGCTGAAGATCAAGGTTGATTCTCCTCCTGCATCTATTTCCAGTGATGATGACGCTGACTCCTGAAGATTATCAGAATGAATACTGGCCAAAGCTGCAGGGAGCTATTGCTCAACTCCTGACCATGGACCCCGGAAGTTATATCCCAATATCATATGAACAGATGTACAGGTAGTTATTGGTGAAATGACTGCTCCCAATGTCATCATTCTAGCTTCCTTGCACATCAGTGATAATGTTATGCACTTCCGATTAGCGAACTGATGACAGATAGGATGATCTTTGACCACACAATGCCATTTAGAAAGTGGTCAAATGTAACAAATTGGTTTATTTGGGATAACACTTTCTCAGTAAAGTACAGATTCTCCTAGAGAGGGGTACACAAAGTACGCGATCTAGACTATATGTTGTTGAACTTTCATTTTTTGCGGAAGCCTTGGTGGCTGAGTGGGTTAGATCGCTGACTTTGTGTGATGGTGATTAGGTGCCTCACTCTGGCAGTGTGGGTTCGAATCCTGGATGGGACTCAACCCAAATAAGTACGAGAATCTGTACTTATTGAGAAAGTGTTATCCCAGATATAACATTCGTTACATTTGACCACTTTCTAAATGGCATTGTGTGTTCATAGCTTTCAACCATGGGAGCTGTGCCAATTTACACTTGTCAGAGGGGTACACAAAGTATGTGATCTAGACTACCAGTTGTCGGACTTTCATTTTTTGTGGAAGCCTCGGTGGCCGAGTGGGTTAGATCACTGACTTTTTGTGGCGGCGATTAGGTGCCTCACTCTGGGAGTGTGAGTTTCAATCCCAGATGGGACTAACCCCCCAAAATACTAGAATCTGTACTTTACTGAGAAAGTGTTATCCCAAATATAACATTTGTTACAGGATGAATAATGATTTTCAAAGATGTATTTTAACAGTGCTGAATTCTGTATTTTAAAACATGAATGTCAACTGTTATTCTCAAAAGTCTACAATGGTCTTTTAGAAGTTGGGAAACAAATACATGACACTTTTTTATTTGTTGTAAATGACATGTGAGGGCTACTCTTGTCCCTTCATCAGGTGAATACTGAGTGTTATTCTTTGTTCATGTGATGTGCATGATTAGATGATGTGAGTCTAAGACTGCATCCTATGATATCCTGGGATACAGAGACAAGCCAACAAGGACAACAGGGATATTGTCATACCTCCATGTCGGAATGTTTGTTTGTTTGTTGTTTAACGCCACACTCAGCAATATTCCAGCTATATGACGGCGGTCTGTAAATAATCTAGTCTGGACCAGACAGTCTAGTGATTGACAGCATGAACATCGATCCACGCAATTGGGATCGATGACATGTATCAACCAAGTCAGCGAGCCTGACCACCTGATCCCGTTAGTTGCCTTTTACGACAAGCATAGTCGCCTTTTACGGCAAGTATGGGTTGCTGAAGACCTATTCTACCCCGGAATCTTCACAGGTCCCATGTCAGGATGATGAGATCTTATTGGTTCACATGATCTTGATGTAATACTATGTATCCCGCCTTTGTTGGAAAATTTCTGAGAGGGAGAATAAATCCCAAATACCCCGCCACGAAGAAGACAGGCTGCATGTGGATTTCTGAGGGAGAATAAATCCCAAATACCCCGCCATGAAGAAGACAGGCTGCATGTGGATTTCTGAGGGAGAATAAATCCCCTATACCCTGCTTCAAATAAAAAAGCTGTACACTTTTTCCGAGTCATGTGACAAAGCACAAGTTAACCTCAGCTCAAGGGTGATCTGATGTTCCTCTGTTCCAGCTGTGTGTACAAGTGTGTGTGTAAACAGTTCTCGGAGCGGCTGTACTCCGATCTGCTGGCCTTGATGACGTCACATGTCCAGATGCTCAATACACAACTCGAGGGCAATGTAAGTTGCATGTACTCTCTCTTAGCAAACCTCAGAATGTTAGCGTTGTGCAGAGACAAGTAAACCTTTAAGAAATCCAGCTGATGTCGATATGTGGTGTATTCATTATGAAACATGTTATTATGATTGTGAATGTGATATGAATGTTATGTGTAAATATAATTGATGTAGAAAGCCTTTGTGATAATGATTACACAGCCTCAGCAGCAATATGATCACTTGAGATGAATTAGGAATTTGTTCTGACATGTTTGAAACACAATTTTCCAAAGTCATCTGAGAACTAGTTGCTCTTACGTTTTCAGTCTTATTTAGATTTTAACATATGTTTGACAGGAAAGAAATAGTGTACCTACCTATCCTAACTTCCACTTCATGTAATCCAAATGACTTTTGTTTGTTTCGTCTTTGTAATGCTTCTCAGTAGATAACTGTAGAAACATATGATATTTCGAAATTATTTAACTTCTTGAATCTGTCTTGATTACAGAGATTCCTGAAGGCATGGTTGGTTGGCTGGTTGGTTTGTTGTTAAACACCACACTCAGCAATATTCCAGCTATATGACGGTGGTCTGTCAAAATTTGAGTCTGAACCAGACAATCCAGTGATTATTATCATGAGCATCGATCCAAGTCAGAGAGCCTGACCACCCAATCACGTTAGTTGCCTCTTACAACAAACATAGTCGCCTTTTATGGCAAGCATGGGTTGCTGAAGACCTACTCTACCCCGGACCTTCATGGGTCCTGAGGGTATGGCGTGAAATCATCTATATTCATTGTGTTTAATGTTTCAGATGGAGGATTCAAAAAAGTTTATAGAATGTTTCTCCTACACAATGCATCAGTATCTCCAAGCCCTGGCTGTCATCGTCCCCATCTTTAACTATATGGTGAGAGAGGCATGCTGCCACCTTCTACTTCTGTGTAGTGATATGGGTGTGGAAGAGCACCCAGTTACTATATACTTGTATTTCCTGTGTTGGTCCTTGGTGGACAGAGCCCCCTGAACACATGCTTGTTGATCCTTGGTGGATAGAGCCCCCTGAACACATGCTTGTTGATCCTTGGTGCATAGAGCCCCATGAATACTTGCTTGTTGATCCTTGGTGCATAGATCCCCCTGAACACATGCTTGTTGATCCTTGGTGGACAGAGCCCCATGAACCCATGCTTGTTGATCCTTGATGGATAGAGCCCCATGAACACATGCTTGTTGATCCTTGGTGGACAGAGCCCCATGAACACATGCTTGTTGATCCTTGGTGGACAGAGCCCCCTGAACACATGCTTGTTGATCCTTGGTGGATAGAGCCCCCTGAACAAATGCTTGTTGATCCTTGGTGGACAGAGCCCCATGAACACATGCTTGTTGATCCTTGGTGGACAGAGCCCCCTGAACAAATGCTTGTTGATCCTTGGTGGACAGAGCCCCATGAACACATGCTTGTTGATCCTTGATGGACAGAGCCCCGTGAACACATGCTTGTTGATCCTTGGTGGATAGAGCCCCCTGAACAAATGCTTGTTGATCCTTGGTGGACAGAGCCCCATGAACACATGCTTGTTGATCCTTGGTGGACAGAGCCCCATGAACACATGCTTGTTGATCCTTGGTGGATAGAGCCCCCTGAACAAATGCTTGTTGATCCTTGGTGGACAGAGCCCCATGAACACATGCTTGTTGATCCTTGGTGGACAGAGCCCCATGAACAAATGCTTGTTGATCCTTGGTGGACAGAGCCCCCTGAACCCATGCTTGTTGATCCTTGATGGATAGAGCCCCCTGAACACATGCTTGTTGATCCTTGGTGGACAGAGCCCCATGAACACATGCTTGTTGATCCTTGATGGATAGAGCCCCATGAACACATGCTTGTTGATCCTTGGTGGACAGATCCCCGTGAACACATGCTTGTTGATCCTTGGTGGATAGAGCCCCCTGAACAAATGCTTGTTGATCCTTGGTGGACAGAGCCCCATGAACACATGCTTGTTGATCCTTGGTTGATAGAGCCCCCTGAATACTTGCTTGTTGATCCTTGATGGATAGAGCCCCATGAACACATGCTTGTTGATCCTTGGTGGACAGAGCCCCGTGAACACATGCTTGTTGATCCTTGGTGGATAGAGCCCCCTGAACAAATGCTTGTTGATCCTTGGTGGATAGAGCCCCATGAACACATGCTTGTTGATCCTTGGTGGACAGAGTCCCCTGAATACTTGCTTGTTGATCCTTGGTGGATAGAGCGCCCTGAACACATGCTTGTTGATCCTTGGTGGATAGGGCCCCCTGAACACATGCTTGTTGATCCTTGGTGGACAGAGCCCCATGAACACATGCTTGTTGATCCTTGATGGACAGAGCCCCATGAACACATGCTTGTTGATCCTTGGTGGATAGAGCCCCATGAACACATGCTTGTTGATCCTTGGTGGACAGAGCCCCATGAACACATGCTTGTTGATCCTTGATGGACAGAGCCCCGTGAACACATGCTTGTTGATCCTTGGTGGACAGAGCCCCCTGAACACATGCTTGTTGATCCTTGGTGGACAGAGCCCCCTGAACACATGCTTGTTGATCCTTGGTGCATAGAGCCCCATGAATACTTGCTTGTTGATCCTTAGTGGATAGGGCCCCCTTAACACATGCTTGTTGATCCTTGGTGGATAGAGCCCCATGAACACATGATAGATCCCCCTGAACACATGCTTGTTGATCCTTGGTGGACAGAGCCCCCTGAACACATGCTTGTTGATCCTTGGTGGACAGAGCCCCCTGAACACATGCTTGTTGATCCTTGGTGCATAGATCCCCATGAACACATGCTTGTTGATCTTTGGTGGATAGAGCCCCCTGAACACATGCTTGTTGATCCTTGGTGCATAGATCCCCATGAACACATGCTTGTTGATCTTTGGTGGACTGAGCCCCGTGAACACATGCTTGTTGATCCTTGGTGGGTAGAGCCCCCTGAACACATGCTTGTTGATCTTTGGTGGACAGAGCCCCCTGAACACATGCTTGTTGATCCTTGGTGGATAGGGCCCCATGAACACATGCTTGTTGATCCTTGGTGGACAGAGCCCCATGAACACATGCTTGTTGATCCTTGGTGGATAGAGCCCCCTGAACACCTGCTTGTTGATCTTTGGTGGACAGAGCCCCCTGAACACATGCTTGTTGATCCTTGGTTGATAGAGCCCCATGAACACATGCTTGTTGATCCTTGGTTGATAGAGCCCCCTGAACACATGCTTGTTGATCCTTGATGGATAGAGCCCCATGAACACATGCTTGTTGATCCTTGGTGGACAGAGCCCCGTGAACACATGCTTGTTGATCCTTGGTGGATAGAGCCCCCTGAACAAATGCTTGTTGATCCTTGGTGGATAGAGCCCCATGAACACATGCTTGTTGATCCTTGGTGGACAGAGCCCCGTGAACACATGCTTGTTGATCCTTGGTGGACAGAGCCCCCTGAACACATGCTTGTTGATCCTTGGTGGACAGAGCCCCCTGAACACATGCTTGTTGATCCTTGGTGCATAGAGCCCCATGAATACTTGCTTGTTGATCCTTGGTGGATAGGGCCCCCTTAACACATGCTTGTTGATCCTTGGTGGATAGAGCCCCATGAACACATGATAGATCCCCCTGAACACATGCTTGTTGATCCTTGGTGGACAGAGCCCCCTGAACACATGCTTGTTGATCCTTGGTGGACAGAGCCCCCTGAACACATGCTTGTTGATCCTTGGTGGACAGAGCCCCCTGAACAAATGCTTGTTGATCCTTGGTGGATAGAGCCCCATGAACACATGCTTGTTGATCCTTGGTGGATAGAGCCCCATGAACACATGATAGAGCCCCATGAACACATGCTTGTTGATCCTTGGTGGACAGAGCCCCGTGAACACATGCTTGTTGATCCTTGGTGGACAGAGCCCCCTGAACACATGCTTGTTGATCCTTGGTGGACAGAGCCCCCTGAACACATGCTTGTTGATCCTTGGTGCATAGAGCCCCATGAATACTTGCTTGTTGATCCTTGGTGGATAGGGCCCCCTTAACACATGCTTGTTGATCCTTGGTGGATAGAGCCCCATGAACACATGATAGATCCCCCTGAACACATGCTTGTTGATCCTTGGTGGACAGAGCCCCCTGAACACATGCTTGTTGATCCTTGGTGGACAGAGCCCCCTGAACACATGCTTGTTGATCCTTGGTGGACAGAGCCCCCTGAACAAATGCTTGTTGATCCTTGGTGGACAGAGCCCCCTGAATACTTGCTTGTTGATCCTTGGTGGACAGAGCCCCATGAACACATGCTTGTTGATCCTTGGTGGACAGAGCCCCATGAACACATGCTTGTTGATCCTTGGTGGACAGAGCCCCGTGAACACATGCTTGTTGATCCTTGGTGGACAGAGCCCCCTGAACACATGCTTGTTGATCCTTGGTGGACAGAGCCCCCTGAACACATGCTTGTTGATCCTTGGTGCATAGAGCCCCATGAATACTTGCTTGTTGATCCTTGGTGGATAGGGCCCCCTTAACACATGCTTGTTGATCCTTGGTGGATAGAGCCCCATGAACACATGATAGATCCCCCTGAACACATGCTTGTTGATCCTTGGTGGACAGAGCCCCCTGAACACATGCTTGTTGATCCTTGGTGGACAGAGCCCCCTGAACACATGCTTGTTGATCCTTGGTGCATAGATCCCCATGATCACATGCTTGTTGATCTTTGGTGGATAGAGCCCCCTGAACACATGCTTGTTGATCCTTGGTGCATAGATCCCCATGAACACATGCTTGTTGATCTTTGGTGGACAGAGCCCCGTGAACACATGCTTGTTGATCCTTGGTGGATAGAGCCCCCTGAACACATGCTTGTTGATCTTTGGTGGACAGAGCCCCCTGAACACATGCTTGTTGATCCTTGGTGGATAGGGCCCCATGAACACATGCTTGTTGATCCTTGGTGGACAGAGCCCCCTGAACACATGCTTGTTGATCCTTGGTGGATAGAGCCCCATGAACACATGATAGATCCCCATGAACACTTGCTTGTTGATCCTTGGTGGACAGAGCCCCCTGAACACATGCTTGTTGATCTTTGGTGGACAGAGCCCCCTGAACACATGCTTGTTGATCCTTGGTGGACAGAGCCCCCTAAACACATGCTTGTTGATCCTTGGTGGACAGAGCCCCCTGAACACATGCTTGTTGATCCTTGGTGGACAGAGCCCCATGAACACATGCTTGTTGATCCTTGGTTGACAGAGCCCCCTGAACACATGCTTGTTGATCCTTGGTGGACAGAGCCCCATGAACACATGCTTGTTGATCCTTGGTGGACAGAGCCCCCTGAACAAATGCTTGTTGATCCTTGGTGGACAGAGCCCCGTGAACACATGCTTGTTGATCCTTGGTGGATAGAGCCCCCTGAACACATGCTTGTTGATCCTTGGTGGATAGATCCACGTGAACACATGCTTGTTGATCCTTGGTGGACAGAGCCCCCTGAACACATGCTTGTTGATCCTTGATGGATAGAGACCCATGAACACATGATAGAGCCTCATGAACACATGTTTGTTGATCCTTGGTGGATAGAGCCCCATGAACACATGCTTGTTGATCCTTGGTGGACAGAGCCCCCTGAACACATGATAGAGCCCCATGAACACATGATAGAGCCCCCTGAACACATGCTTGTTGATCCTTGGTGGATAGAGCCCCCTGAACACATGCTTGTTGATCCTTGGTGGACAGAGCCCCCTGAACACATGCTTGTTGATCCTTGGTGGACAGAGCCCCCTTAACACATGCTTGTTGATCCTTGGTGGACAGAGCCCCATGAACACATGCTTGTTGATCCTTGGTGGACAGAGCCCCATGAACACATGCTTGTTGATCCTTGGTGGACAGAGCCCCCTGAACACATGCTTGTTGATCCTTGGTGGACAGAGCCCCATGAACACATGCTTGTATCTCCTGTGTTCATTTCAAGGCAGCACTCAGGATCAGATTGAAGTATTGTTGGCAGCAACATGAGTATTATAAGATCGCACTCAGCAACACTGAGCTAGGCTGTTTGTTATACAAACAGCAATGATGAAGAATATACTAATGAATAATAATCATTTCATCATGTTTATAATTTATTGTCTAAATAACATTAAATGTAGTTCATCATCAATATGTTTGGCTTCTTTTCAGAATCGATTTTATGTAGAGAACAAGTTAAAGAAGGATTTGAATGAGGAATTGCGGCGACTGTTTCGAATCCATGTGGCAGACCATCACATCAATAACTTACTGCGTGAGTTCATTGTCTGTTCCAGCTAGGTCAAGAACACTTTGTAAGCTTTGACTATGAGATGTAATGTAAGTGTAGTGGGTCTGTGTCCTCTGTTTCCATATCAGGGGCATGGATGGCCTGCTTGTCTAATATAACCCAATTTGGCATGCAGAGTTGTGTCCCTTGAGCGTTTAATGGTCTTTTGTGATCATAGGTTTGAATCCCATATTTGCCCTTATGATCATTGGTTTGTCAGCACAGTAGCCATAGTGGTAAACGTCTAAGACCGGCATCACTTTGTGCTTTCATCTGACATTAAGTCCTGACATAACTGAAATAGAGCAGCTTGCAACCATCTTTAATCCATCAGCATTTTTTTGATACTTTAGAACGAGAAAATCCAGAAGAGGTTCTTCATTTCAATATGCAAAATAGTATTTCTGCAAATATATTTTTATCATGATTAATAAAATTTTTTACTTATCCTGCATTACTCCTTAATGCATTCACTGCTTACTTACGACAACTAGAAGGACAGCGCTGCGAAGGTCCTGGGTGAAGAAATAAAGTTGTTGTTCTCAAGTCCCAATCAGTGGCCTTCCGTCGCTGTCCTGTGACCTTGATGACACCTAAGGTCATCTTCACATCACTGCTTGTCGCAGCACAGCTAGGACGTGTCCAAGCGGAGCTCTCCTTTTGGATTAATTTTAGACCTTCAGTTTGTCTACAATCTTAAAAATTGATCTGCGATGGGTGATGTATTCTTTTCATATTACTTTCACCATGTTGTGTAGTTTTATGTGAATTAATTAGGCGTGAAAAGACGCTTGTCTTTTTTCCCGCCAAAATATTGTTGTTCGCCGCCATTTTGAATTGTGTTACAATCGTTTGCCTGCCAAGGTAGTCATATTGTTTACAATTCTCAGCTACGTATGTATAACATATTCTTATGTTCTTAAATATTACTAGCTTTGGCGTAACAGTGAGTTGCGTATACTAAAATTATTGTATACTTTTTCAACTCGTTAAAAATATGGTTGCCGATAGATTAATATCAAATCTACGGCTTTCTTCCAGTCCCGCTTCATCAACAATTCTTTTATTGCGTACCTATGTTTATGCGATTAAATAGTTTTTTGTTGGTATTTTTGGTTTTACATTGAGTTGCGTATATGAACTATTGTATACTCTTGCAACTCGTAGTTTTTGCCGATAGATTATTGTTCAATTCTATGGCATTCTTCCAGTACCGCCTCATCAACAATGGCGTAATTGTGTTTGTTTTAAACATATTTTATTGACATATATGGTCAACGGGATTGGGCAAAAGTTATCCAACTTAGGTGGCCCTTTCCCTACTCTATATGTACAGACATTGAATATACATATATATATGTAATTGTGTAACTTATGATTGAGCGTGGTATTAATTGTCGTGGGAAAAATCTTACAAAGATTATCATCCACGTTGTTTGGTTTGCGCGCAGATGTGCTCTCCAAACCCCAAATGAAAATATAAATACCCTTGGTTTACATTGGGTTGCGCATACAAAAATATTGTATATCCTTGCAACTCATAAATTTGCCGATAGATTAGTGTTCAAATTCTTCGGCACTCTTCCAGTATTATCTCATCAACAAGGGTTTCATTGCGTAACATACCTTTGAGCATTTTACTAATTGTCGTGGAAAAAACCTTACAAGATTATCATCCACGATTGGTTGGTTTGCGCGCGGATGTGCTCTCCAATCTCTAAATGTAAATAGCCTTGGTTTACATTGAATTGCGTATATAAAAATATTGTATACCCTTGCAATTCGTATTTTTATCAACAATACCGGAGGATTTTGTGAGTATCGTAATTGCTCCTATTTTTTCAGCCGCCGGACACTTCCAGATACATGTATGATAATCTGTGACGTCGGCGACAGCACCAGCACCAGCGTATCGAGATGCTATGATGGGGGTAGATTAGACGCAAGCCTTGATCCAGTCAATACTTTTGAGCTTAGCGCTGTTCCAACATATCCAGCATAGACCTGCGCCGAGCGCAGCGTCTGACTGCTACCCAAAGCGCTCCTATTACGCAAACGTCGCACGATCAGCTTAGCGCTGTTCCAACATTCCAGACCTGCGCTGAGCGCAGCGTCTGCGTATCAATCAAGGTCTCTACAATGACGTTAGCCCAAGGCTTACAGTGTACTCTGTTACGTAACCGGCACATGATCAGCATTATCAGAAGTCAGTAACGCCCTCCCCTGATAACAGGGTAAATAAGAGGGACACCACGAGGTCATTGGAGGAAGCCTTCTCCAAAACTCACATTTGCTCCGTGATTTAAGCGACCAATATCGTCAATGTTTGCAGTGGATCAGAATCTATTAGAGGATAACCCTATCTGATTAGATCACTTCCAAACTATGGTGTTTTTCCTACAGCGTCAGTTTGACCACAGGAAAATTCATCTTGAGACCGTTCTGACGGTGATTACCGTTACACCCAAGACTTTATAGCGTTTCCAACTGAGATGCTGGTTTCAAGGGCAGTCTATTACGTCAACCTTGATCATCTACTCCCCTGTTCAACGAACAGATCGCAGACACGCACGTCAAGTTCCCAAAAAGCTTGGAAAGTCCAAGTCAGGGAATTATAAGCCTAGACGCGCGTTTCTCAGGGAAGACCAGCATTCCCTTACTGAGAAAGGGAGTGGCAGAGACAAGTCTCAAGGACGATTTCGTACTTATCGCACTATATCATGGTGTCCGTATAAGGGTAGAGTTAACCCCACCGTTGACCACAGTTTGATTGGGAAAATCCAACATAGACATACTGTTGGTAAGAAGAGCTGTAGAGTGGGTTCACAACCCAGTCTTTACTCCGGGGTTTTATCCTCGCACCTACCTGGTACTCATGAAGGACCCAGACAAGATGAGAGTGATCCACAATCTCTGTGTTCAACGAACGTTTGATTCTTCATCAGTCTCGACTATCCATCCCAACCGTAGACTTTTCAGGTCCAGTTCATTAGGGTTCACTACCAATGGTAGTATTTCCCATTTGACATGTCAGTGACACTTATGGCTATTTACAGGAGTAATGAAGCCAATAACTATCTACACGTGACGAACACTTGGTTCGAGTCGTAGATGGAGGGCGATCTACTGTATCATCAACACATGTCAATAACTGGGATAGACAATCAACGAGGCGAAGTCGGGAGTATTCTCCTTCCTATTGACTTCAGTTCATAGGAGACCTGTTTAAGACAGACCAGGATATCCTATCTGTACCGAGGGACAGATGGCACAAGTTTCTACTTCTTTTGTCATCTACTCTACACCAACCACACACACTTCGCCAGTGGCAAGTGTTGCTAGGGTTAATCACCTCGGCACAGGAGTTAACTAGCATGGGCCGCTTACAACAGCGACCAATTCAATTTTTTCCTGAACCCTTACATCAGGAGTCAGGATCCACTCAAGGCCATCACTCTACCAACTAAGCTAGAGCCTTGCCTCAATTTGTGGCGCTGAATGTCTGCGGAGTCTGTTTATTCGGGTTTTCCCCGAATACACACCTGTTTGTGGACGTCCCCTTTCAGGGGTGGAGTCTTCACTTACAAGACCAGATAAGCTCAGGGCTATGGCCCGGCGCACAATGGAAGTGGCACATAAACAACTTGGAGTTGGAAGCTTTAATTCTGGCTATATCACATTGGCAGAATCAACTACAGTTAGCCCGACTCGCTATATCCACAGACAACAGCACTGCGGTGTGGTGCCTGTGCAATCGGGGAACAACACACTCCCACTCTCCACTTCTAAGGACATTCAGATTTCTTCCATCTAGTGGATCGGCTGTGACTAAGGTTCATAGTTCAGCACATCCCCGGATGTAGAAACATACTGGCCGATACTTTATCACGTCCAGACAGGGTGGCTCCCACTGAGTGGAAATTTCTCACAGAAGCATTCCAGTTACTGCTTCAGGAATTCAGGCAACCAAACATTGACTTGTTTATTACTTGCCTAGGCCACCAACTCATGACGTATATCTCCCCGTTGCCGGATCCGCAGACTTGGGCGGTGGACGAGTTCAGTATCACTTGGGAAGGGCAAAGAACTAAAACTCTTCTGCCACCACTTTTACTTCCCAAGGTGCTACAGGGGATCAAGGAGACAAGGTATCTCGATCTCTCCTTTGGTCGCACCATGGTAACCGGCGAGAGGGTAGTTCTTCAAGCTCGGAAAAATCTAAAACGATTCACTTCCCCTCTCACAGTGGTCCAACCTACTCATCCACCCTCAACAGAAAATTGCCTCACCCAACGTCTGCACGCATGGTTCGTCTTTAAAAGGCGTTTAAGTGCGAAGGGTTATTTCGACACGGGCAGCAAAGCTATAGCTTTAGTTCATCGTTACTCTCCCAGAGACGACGATGACAAGTGGGGATCACTTGAGACTTTTTACAGGGAAGAAAAGAATCAAGACCCTACGATTGCGTCACAATTCCTAGAGGAATACCTCCTACATTGCGTACCCAAAAACACTTGGAAGGTAGCACCATTACTACGTAATTGGCTGCAATTATCTTAGTGTTGGCCGTTTCCGGAAAATCACAGTGTGTTTAAGGTCACGGAACTACAGGCCATATTATGCTCATTCAGGTTTGAGGATCAGAAGGCCAAGTTCCAGCCACCTGATTGGGACTTGAACGTGGTACTTCGAGGTTTGCGAGGGCCCCCTTCGAGCCCCTCATTGCATCCTCATTTTCAAGCTCCTTCCCAGCGCGTGACACCTTCGTTACACTCTCGGTATAGTATAGAGAGCTCCGCGAACGGGCCATCGCTGTGAGGAGCTTGGACATCACCAAGGAAACAATGGTTTCTCTTGGCATTAGCAATGGCGGTACGGGTGAGCGAACTACATGTGATCGACTCAACCCGGATCCGTTTTGAGCATGGGACGCACGGAACGGGACATCTAGGGTTATGCTGGGATTTTATTGCTAAAATCTACTACCAGGCCAACCCGACCGTTCTTCACCATCCCACCGATATCGACTATTGTGGGAATCGTACATGGTGAAGTTCTCCTGGGCTCGGTGCGAGCAGTTCGAGTTTTCATTCGACGCTCCAAGACTAGGCGTGGTTCGTCCACGACAGAAGTTAGTCGCATAATCGCAAACACCATATCTATATGGTTACGCGCAGTAATCCTTCAGGCCTACGAGATCATCAAACGGAACTCGCCGAGAGCGAATTACCCTCAAGATCTAAAGGTGTCAGCCTTACCAGGGCTCAACACGGCAATTGTGGTTTTGGAACAATCACGGAAGGATATTTCTGGAGATTCGACACATATTTTCGTTAGTCATAACCTTCGCGTTGTGACTCTCGAGGATGTCGAAGACGTTCGAAGTTTGGCCCTCTGGTTGTTATCCTGCAGATTGCCAACCACTGACGCAAATAATGAACTCGCCCTATACAGAGCCAGTCAACTTCCATGTGCAGTCACTCAGTCGCCACCAGTGGAAGAATATTAGACAATCTTGTTTGTCAGCGACGGCTCTATGACGCAGTAAGTAAAGAATTAGCTGAATAGCTATTATTTTCTTTATTACTAAGCGTGTATAGGGAATTTCTCTTTAATTCCTATGTTCAATGTTTTTGATTTTTAAACAACCCTACCGTAATGGCGTTTTTGTCTGAACTTTTCCGCTTCACGGTTTATCGACCAAATGGGGTCGTATTGCAGGGTGTGAATTATTGAGGTTTCTGTATTCTGAAGGTTTACCCACCTCCAAACCGTCCGATACAGATGCATTAAGGAGTAATGCAGGATAAGTAAAAAATTTAGTAAAATCTAAATATTTTTTACATTTGTATACTTATCCTGCATTACTACGCTTAAGGCCCACCCGTCGTTAGACTTGCCTCCCCACTTTGGCTTCAGAAACCTCAAAAGTATGTTTTTCTAAGAGCTTGGGCGACAGGCAGTGATGTGAAGATGACCTTAGGTGTCATCAAGGTCACAGGACAGCGACGGAAGGCCACTGATTGGGACTTGAGAACAACAACTTTATTTCTTCACCCAGGACCTTCACAGCGCTGTCCTTCTAGTTGTCGTAAGTAAGCAGTGAATGCATTAAGGAGTAATGCAGGATAAGTATACAAATGTAAAAAATATTTAGATTTTACTAAAATTGATAATTAGTCTTCTAATATTCACACCATGCTTCAGCTCTCTTGGAAGAAGTCAGCTGCCAACCATTCGCCATCGCACCACCTGTGATGGCTAACCTCATGAGAAATCTTCACTCATTAAACTCAGGTAAGTCTCACTTCATTCACAACTTTGGCTGATTTATGACCAGTATCTGATTAGCACTGTAGAAGTTTAGAGAATCTCATCCGAGTGTCTTTTGATCTCACAGTGGCCTGCAAAGCATTGTGCTGCAATTTCATTGTAGTGATATCTTCTAGGAGATATCAGGGCAGTTGGTAGCCAAGTGGTTAAAGTGTTTGCTCATCACTTAAGGGGCGGTGGCGTTGCCTAGTGGTTAAAGTGTTTGCTTGTGACGCCGAAGTACCGGGTTTGATTCCCCACATGGGTAAAATGTGTGAAGTCCCTTTCTGGTGTCCCCTGCCCTGATGTTGCTGGAATAGTGCTAAAGCCAACTCACTCACTAACTCTAGGAGACAAAGTTTGATCTTACCCAAACGATATAGCCTGTAGCAGCCAATTGTGGATGATTATGTAATGAACCGGAAGCAATTTGTGTGGATGAAACTTCTTTATAACTGTTGTGACGTCTTGGTGCAGATGCTAGCATCTCCAACAGGCATGTGAAATGTCTACATCAAGCAGAATACAGGTCCATGGGTTGTGAAAACAGTATTTATGACAATTGGATTTTAAAGCATGTAGATGTACGCAAAGGTATAGGTAATTGCTAGGAGCAAGTAGACACTGACTGGAAGGTAAGGAGGGGATAGAAAAGAAGTACCTCATTATTGGCTCAGCTTGCTGTAGCCCAGTCATAGGCGGATCCAGAGGGACATCACCCACCCACCCTTTTTTTTTTTAAACCAAATTTGGTATGTTGTAGACAGAGAGGACTTTGATATTTTGGACCCCTCCCTTTTACAAATGCTCAATCTCATTAAAATCAGATCTTATGAAAGTGACAGTCGGAATGTGATTTCTAATCATGCAATCTCGAAAACTTTAACACGGGGTATTCCGAACGATAGTTACGGGTTTAACGACTGAATCCTTACAATCTAGACCATCCATTAGTCATTCCAGAATGTTTTTTTGTTTAGCGGTAGCGAGAACTAAGATCTGATTTTAATGAGATTGACAAATGCTGGACCCGCCCTTGCCAGTAGAGTTGATACAAAGATGGCCGACCTGCTGTCTGCTGTCAGGTTTTGCCTCTGGAAGATAATGGATGTATATAGATTTGGACTCGCTACATGTTGATACTGAGCAGATCAGAGTCATGTGTCCCCTGTTTTCTGGTTTCAGAGTATGTGAGATTAAAACCAGCTTTATTTGCTAAGTTCATACCCAGTGTTCTTCCACCAACCTCTGTGACGGATTTAGAGAAATATATCGACGAGGTGCAGCAGATGCAGAGGGATATACACCTACTTCCTGACTTTGCACAGTGAGTTGCTAGGCGGAGAAAATGTGTTACCATGGTAACACATACCCCAATATTTTTATTACTCTGGAGAATTTAATCATTTTTCAATTGCACTACTCTTTTGGCACAAGAGTGTGTCATGTGGTCTTGGATTAATACAGAACTGCTTGTTTATCAGCAGATATAGTGGATATTTCATGCGTCAAGTGAAATATCATTTTTCTCTCATCAAGTGAAAGGGGGAATGATGTCTCCTTTCCCTCGTCACGGGATGAGAGAAACATAATATATCACAAGACACTATGAATATCCTATTTATTATGTAGTTTTTGTGTTTTGGGTTGTTTTTTTCATTACAAATGGTAAACCTCAAAACATGAATTCTCCGTCACCATTCCTTGTATTTGCAACTTAAAAAGTCGTTCTGAGTTTGCAAAATCTTTAAAAATATAAACGAAAGTCGCAAAAATTATTTAGGGTCACGGAAATTCTTTATCATACATTTGGATATGATTATATACAAAATCAACTTCAAAAACACATTCATAAAAGATATGAGACCGCTGTTGGAAGCGAAGGAATACAAGCTGGGCTGAGGACGTAGAAAGTAGAAATCCAAGATGGTTGTCCTCCTTGACTAGTAGCATTTGAGGGCCATAATTCTGAACCAGTTCTCAGGGCTTCAAGTTTGCAACAAAATGGAACTGAATATATCTGGTAGAAAAGGTAAACACGGCCATCTTTTCTGTCTTCTGCCAGCAGGTCCAGCTGCATACTCTGAGAACCAGAGAAATCAGGTTTAATCTGGACTGATAAAGTTACAAAACCACGATAGTATTACAAATCAATGATTAACTTAGAATACGGTGATAAGATTACAAAACTGTGATAAGATTACAAAATGGTGATCCTTGTAAGTTATTTTTTAGCCATGACCAGAGCAGGAAGCGGGGTTGTGAGGAGGACATCTCTGTCAACTGACACAAGGTTGGTGCCATACAATACACACGATGGGGACCTGACAATACACAATAGGAACATCACAAACCACAAATGGTACCTGACTACATGCAGATTGTATTTGATAATACTCAGTGGATATTTGACGATACACAATGTATTTTTTACAACACACGGCGGCTAATCAACAAAACACTATAGGTGTGTGACAATACACAACAGTTATTTGACAATATACAATGGGTATGTGACAATACACAATGATTATGTGACAATACATGGCAGGTATTGGACAATACACAGTAGGTATATGACAATACTCAATAGGTATGCGACAATTCACAATAGGTATGTGAAAATATGCAATTGGTATGTGACAATATGCAATAGGTATGTCACAATACACAGTGGTTATGTGACAATATACAATAGGTATGTGACAATATGCAATAGGTATGTGGCAATACACAATAGGTATGTGACAATACACAATAGGTATGAGACAATATGCAACAGGTTTGTCACAATACACAATGGTTATGTGACAATACACAATAGGTATGTGACAATGCACAATAGGTATGTGACAAAACACAACAGGTATGTGGCAATACACAATAGGTATGTGGCAATACACAATAGGTATGTGACGATACACAATGGGTATGTGACAATATGCGATAGGTATGTCACAATACACAATGGTTATGTGACAATACACAATGGGTATGTGACAATATGCAATAGGTATGTGGCAATACACAATAGGTATGTGACAATACACAATAGGTATGAGACAATATGCAACAGGTTTGTCACAATACACAATGGTTATGTGACAATACACAATAGGTATGTGACAATGCACAATAGGTATGTGACAAAACACAACAGGTATGTGGCAATACACAATAGGTATGTGGCAATACACAATAGGTATGTGGCAATACACAATGGGTATGTGACAATATGCGATAGGTATGTCACAATACACAATGGTTATGTGACAATACACAATGGGTATGTGACAATACACAATAGGTATGTGGCAATACACAATAGGTATGTGACAATACACAATGGGTATGTGACAATATGCAATAGGTATGTGGCAATATGCAATAGGTATGTCACAATACACAGTGGTTATGTGACAATATACAATAGGTATGTGACAATATGCAATAGGTATGTGGCAATACACAATAGGTATGTGACAATGCACAATAGGTATGTGACAAAACACAACAGGTATGTGGCAATACACAAAAGGTATGTGACTATACACAATGGGTATGTGACAATATGCGATAGGTATGTGGCAATATGCAATAGGTATGTGACAATATGCAATTGGTACGTGACAATTGCAATAGGTATGTGACAATATGCAATAGGTATGTGACAATACACAATAGGTGTGTGACAATGCACAATAGGTATGTGCCAATACATGGCAGGTATGTGACTATTCACAATGGGCTTGTGACAATGCACAATAGGTATGTGACAAAACACAATAGGTATGTGACAATACACAATGAGTATGTGACAATACATGGCAGGTATTTGACATTATCATATAATGAGTAGGTTTCTCGGCAGGATAAAGCCAACGGATAAAAACGATATCCGTTGGGGTCATATGCAGATAGAGATGCAAATATCAAAGGTCAAGTAAGGACTACTTTCACTGTTTATAAACAAACATGGCGTCGCCTCGTCATTTGGCGATCGAGTCAGAATTAACCATCGGGAATCTGGATAAACTACAGGGATAATTGCTATCATTATCAAAAGAACAGTCTAATATACTGAAAATCAGTGTCTAACTGTGACGTAGCTAAGGTATTTTATAAGTTTTGGCAACTTTGGAGATATAAATTTCGAAACAATTTTGCGAGGGCACGAGGCCTAGCCCACTCTCCTACCCAGAGTTCCATGCGGCCGGCAGCCAGCTAGCATAGTACCTCTGCCACAGGCCAGCGCCATGTGACGATTCGTCACATCTTTCACAGTCCATTCAAGATATTGTATATGCTTTTCATCCGTTTCATGTTTGACAAGTCTACACATTTTCATAAACAAATGACAAAGAATGGTTAACTTTCATTTAGAAAGTATGCAAATACGTAAAAATCTACTTGTTTTTGCGTAGTTATCCTATGTTTACATTGGTTGTACGGCTCCACGTGCTGTCATCGAAGCCCAACGGAGAGCTAGCGACACGGTCACTTTGATGCATAAATATATATTGTCATGCAACTCACTGTCGCAGTTGTAGTAGCATATCTATATAGTTATGCAAAACAATATGTAAAGCGCCCCCAAATACTTGCATTAGTCCATTCTATACTGATTTCTGAAAAAGCGCGTTTGTTTACAAACAAGAGAAAAGTCCGGTCACGTGATATGCAAATTAGCCTGTGGCAGTGGTGTTATGCTGAGTCACCACTGCGACGGAGTGTGGGCCTAGCCAAGCGGGATCAGTAGCCATATCTGTGCTTGTAGAACTCTGCGGCTTGAAACCTTCTCCACAAATTAAAATAGTTGGATTTGGAACCAAATATGTTTGAATTGTTACCTTGTTTCGTTTTGTCGCTGTGTGTACATCTGACTACACTTCTTAACGTTATGACAGACCGACGGTCAACAAAGTCTGACCGTGGCCGTGACGACTCATAGACTAGGGTTAGAGTAGCTTCCCTTTGACAAAGGGCAGTTACTCTAGTGGACAGACCGATGGATTGCCGCGAAAGGCAAATAAAAACAATTGTTGTTTTGCGTATATGTTCCTTCGCAACTGTATAAGAAACAGATTTCAGTTGGAACTATATTGGCTACTGTCACTGTCCGACTGACCCATCACTTACCCTATGACGTATTATATATTAATGCGCGCATTCCAGGAAAACTCGCAATGTTTCAGTAATGTTTGTGAGAGAGGGAAAGCAATTTTGAAGCACAGAATTAAAGAATGACATTATATGATAAAGAGGTTATCACGCTTGTGTGTTTGGGGATGGTAAATATCCTGTATTAGGAATAAACACTATGTATTTAGCTCGCCAAGGCTCGCTAAATACATTGTTTATTCCTAATGCAGGATATTTACCATCCCCAAACACACTCGCGTGATAACCTCTATATACACAATAGGTATGTGACAATACTCAATAGGTATGTGACAATACACACCGGTTATGTGATACCACACTATGGATATGTGACTATACACAATGGGTATGTGACACTTCACAATGGGCATATGACAATGAACAATGGGTATGTGACAATACACAATAGGTAAGTGACAATACACATGTAACAATTCACTCTGGTTATGTGACAATACACACTGGTTATGTGATAACACACAATGGGTATGTGACAATACACAATGGGTGTGAGACAATACACAATAGTTATGTGACAATACACAAGGGGTATGTGACAATAAACAGCAGGTAACGATACACAATGGGTATGGGACAATACACAATAGATATATGTAGACCACCCCTATTTGTGCTGGTTGAGTAAGGTGGTTTTTGTATACATTGTTTTCCTGACCACTCACTTATCAACATTTTTTTCAGAGTCCCAAAAGCAAGCAGTAATTCCCTGTCACCCCTTTGTGGGTAAAATGGAACACATCCATGAACAGTTTTGATGAAGAGACTGGATGAGTGTATTGCATCTAGGAGGGGAGTTGTGTGCTTGGACTTGAACTGTGATCATGCAGGAATTATATGCAAACTACAATCCCCTAATAATTCAAGATAAAAGAAGAGTACATCCAAGATGTGAAAGGGACACTGGAGACTTTGTGTTGCTTCTGTTGGAAGATGATAGTCAAGTGTTGTGACCATAACCATTTGGGACTTGTGATGGTTCTCTAGCCACGAGTCTCATGTTCTAGCCACACCATCTCGTGTGTTGTGTTTTTGACGCTGTGAACGGGCGTGATGGTTCTTGAGCCACACCATCTTGTATTGTGTTCTTGACGCTGTGAGACTAAGGGATGTGTCAGGGCTCTCTGGCCACACCACTATGTATTGTGTCCTTAATTTTTCAGAGTTAGATAATCTTGGCAGTTCTTAAACCACGGGGAATGTGTTTGTGTGTTTGACACATTTAAAACTTGGGTCACACATAGGTACCCAAGACACTATGGTCTGTACTGTGGTGTGCAGGGTTGTGTCCCTTTGTCATGCCAGGATACACTGGTCATAGGTTTGAACCCCAAATTGGCCCCAGTTACCAATCAGGTTCTGAAAACAACACATCATTTAAGTTTAACAGTCTGGTCCCACTCAGCAGTAACTCTAGCCCAGGTGGCTCAATCACTGTGTGTAGACAGAAACCAGAGAACCTTCCAGATCATGGATCCGAGCTTTCTGCTGAAGGATGTGTTTTGATTGGACACTTGAGCAGGTGTAGTATTGATGGATGGCTGAGCCATGACTTCGCTTCCTGGATTGTCCTTGACTCAGTTTTGTGCGTGTTTTTCAGCGGAGCACATTTGCTGAGTCCTGGATCAGGGTATGTTCAGCTGTTAATGAAATCGGGGTCAGGGTATGTCAGGGTTCGGCTGTTGTTTGGTCCCCATTTAGGACTGATAGAATAAGTACGGTCTTTATGTACCTTTGAGGAACAATGTCAAGCCCAAGACACAGGTGACAGGGTTAAGGGTTAAAGTTCTGGGTGTTTTTACATGTACCATTGGTCACAAGTATAAATTGCCCAAATTATTTATTTCATTTGGCTAAATTTTATGCAGTAATTGACATGTTTGATGCAAAGGAATTCATTTTAAATGATATTAGCCTGAAGTTACAAAAGTGATGAATCCTCGGCATCAAATGCTCACTAACACACATGAGTAAACACAGTGTGTTTATTAACATTGTAAATACAAAAGAAATCAGTACTTTTTGGCAGCACTCTTACTCTGTGAATTCTGTTGTGAATCTGTCAGTTTGATTTGCATTGTATGCATGATGTCATCAAATTATGCATTGTATCAAACAATGTATCAAACATGCATGGCATCTGACAATGTTGACAAACAATGCATGATTTTATCAAACAATGCATGTGGTTGAACAATGCATGATGTCATTGAACAATGCATGTGATTAAACAATGCATGTCATTGAAAAATGCATGTCACCAAACAATGCATGACATCTACAAACAATGCACGATGTCATCAAACAATTTTTGATGTCACCAAACAATGCATAACATCTTCAAACAATGCATGATATCATCAAACAATGCATGATGTCACCAAACAATGCATGATGACATCAGACAATGCATGATGTCAACAAACAATGAATGACATCTTCAAACAATGCATGATGTCACCAAACAATGCATGATGACATCAAACAATGCATAACATCCTCTCAAATGATAGAAAGTGGTAGTGACACTTTTCACATCTGAATTAGGAACCAGTTATTTGCTGGGCACTCTAGGAATTATGGTGAACGAGCTCATCATGTTTCATGGCTGGGCAGGGACACGGAGTTGGAGCCACTTGTTGCCAGTTGTTGGACATGCACATGTATGTTACTGCTGTGGAGATACTGCTTCAAGTGTTGGTGTTAATACATAAAGATTTGGCCTCAGCAGAATCATGTGATAAGGCCAGGCTTTTTAAAAAAATTTTTTTATGAATCCTCCGATTCTCCCCAAAATGTAAAATTTGATGAAGTGAAAAGCAGTCATTTTTTTTTTATCCCAGTTACCAGAAATAGGTAAATTGTTAAAAAGGTTAACTCATTTACTGTTGCTATAGATTAAATAGATTATTTAAAATACTATATATGTAATTAAAACCTCTTGAACGAATTATATTGAATTCCCTACTCCTTCTTTTTGTTCTTACCTACTTAACATTTGGATGATATCCATAAAATATCTGAATTTGGATGTATTCTTAAATTTTTCGACCTTCTGACCTGAATGTTTTGGTCAAAAATCTGTAAACCCCCATGGGACATGAAGCATATTGTACTACATTTGTGGCAGTGTTGACAAGTTTTGTCTCATCATACAGGGCAGTTACAGATAGCTATTGGTGGTCCAGTGGTTTTGGCATGGCAGGGTCAGCTGGTCATGTGTTCAAATCCCACATTGATCAGTTATTATCCATGGTCTGTTGGCCCCATTCCTGTGGTTACATCAAATGATGGTAGGATTAGCAATTCGTGGTCAGAATCTGCGATTCCCCCTCAAAACCCTTGGTTTATCAGAACCAGATCGAACCTGTGTTAATCTGACACCTTGATAGGACTGAAATTCTGATAAATGTGACATAAAGCACAACTCACTCATTGCCACCACATAATGTAAAACGGTTCTTCCCAATGGAACACTATCTGGAGGTAATAGACACCTTGTGTTTGTTGTACTATAGTGTGTATATGTGTATAAATTATGTGATCATTTGCTGTATATAAACAACTCCAGCTTGTGCAAACATACCTGTAACCTTGTACATTATTGTAGTACACATGTTTCCATTGAACCACAGCCTTAGCTGCAGTAGACCTGGTGGTGTGTAGCAGGGCTGGGACGAGTCCAAATTTACTACCCGGGTACCCATCCCCCTATTACCCGACCCTACCCAGGTACCCACTGTAGGTGTCAGGAGAGAGAGTATTTAGATACATGTTTGAAACAATCGGGTCATTCATACACTGAAGCTGAATTAAGTTATATTTTTATTCAACCATATGAAAAATCAGAAGGAATGGGTGCATAGCTAGTCAGAAAGAAGTGCGAACATTTGTGACTTGTAGTGTAACCATAGAGTTACAGATAATTTTTGTCATTAAACAATAGATCACGTGACTAACCACGGGTCCGGGTAGTCCTGTGGGTACCCGGGTCCTACTCAGTACCCACCCAACCCGGGTATCCGAGTTACCCGTCCCAGCCCTAGTGTGTAGTATTAGAGATAGTATCCACTGTTGAAAACCATGTCATGTTATTGAAGCCGATTTGCACTCGGAGCATGTTTACTGATTAATCTTTTCAATACACCTAATTTCATTATTGCAATTGAAAAAAATAATTCTGTTTATCTGAAATTTAATCTAGGCCAATTTGAATGTGACAAAATATATTATTCTACTCAAAATAGGTTACGGATCACCTGATTGTTTTCATATTATTATAGTTAATCTGTCATGCCAGGACAGGTTAACTATAGTGATATTAGAGAATCGGATGGTCCTTAACTTTTTTGAGTAGAATAGCTTCCTGTGACCTGAGATGGGAACAGCCTCATCTCAGCTGTGAATGACGATTGGAACGGCCTCCTCTCGGCCGTGATCTGAGATGGGAATGGCCTCCTCTCGGCCGTGATCTGAGATGGGAACGGCCTCCTCTCGGTCGTGATCTGAGATGGAAATGGCCTCCTCTCGGCCGTGATCTGAGATGGAAATGGCCTCCTCTCGGCTGTGATCTGAGATGGGAATGGCCTCCTCTTGGCCGTGATCTGAGATGGGAACGGTCTCCTCTTGGCCATAACCTGAGATGGAAATGGCCTCTTCGGCTGTGAACAGAGCTGGGAACGGCCTCCACTGGTTTAGGGTTTTGCTACCATGGTTTTTTTAAAACGTTATTTGCAAGTTACCCTTATCTCAATTTTTTACAAGTCCTGAATATTCATGTACATGCAGTTGTGAAATATATTTTTCATTTTAGAAATTTGTTTGGTTAGTTAAAGAGTTTGTAAAACATACAATGTCCCATTTAGTAACAACTTGGTGATGGAATCATGGTATAAAGTGTTGGTGGAGAAAGACAAAGGGTGATACGGTTTGGTCATCCACTAGGTTATACTCTGGGTTATACTCTGGGTTACCCACTGGTTATCCGCTGGGTTATACACTGGGTTATACTCTGGGTTATACTCTGGGTTATATTCTGGGTTATACTCTGGGTCACCCACTGGTTATCCACTGGGTTATACATTGAGTTATACTCTGGGTTATACTCTGGGTTACCCACTGGTTATCCACTGGGTTATACATTGAGTTATACTCGGGGTTATCCACTGGGTTATACTCTAGGTTATACTCTGGGTTATACACTGAGTTATCCACGGGGTTATACTCAGGGTTATACACGGGGTTATACTCAGGGTTATACACTGGGTTATCCACTGGGTTATACTCTGGGTTATCCACCAGGTTATCCACTGGGTTATAGTCTGGGTTATACACTGGGTTATCCACTGGGTTATGTCCAGTGAAGAGGTCATGTTATTTCTATACTTGGTTTGGTTGTTAATCATTACATAACTGTCTGCTATTTCCATTCTGTGATCCCTGGGAAAATCTGATGACACATGTTATAGTTTCCACAAACATTAAGTCAGTTCAATGGGAATAATTGATCAACAATCAAGATCATATCCTTTTGTCCTCAAAATGATTTTTTCTTTCAGTGGAGACATAAGTGAGCATTCTGCCACCTGGAGGCTGGTTGTGTTTGCTGGATGCTGTTACCAAAGTCTATTTGTTTCTATTATGAAATTGTTTCCATGCCGAAACTCTCCCTGCTTATTATTTTAATTATTTCTATGACATTTTAATTGTTTATCAATCATTTCTTGTAAAAAATCAGTCTCGCCTATAATTTTCCTTTATCGTTTTTGTTGTTTTCCATTATACAGTTGACTGTGTTTCCCTACATTGTTCAATGCTGAGGGCCCTGGCCTACAAACAGATGTTAGTTCTATGACTATCTCAAGTCTATGTTAAAAGTATGGGAGGTAACAAGGGGTTCTACGACTGTCACAAGTCTATGTTAAAGTATGGGAGTTAACAGGGGGTTCTACGACTGTCACAAGTCTATGTGAAAGTATGGGAGTTAACAGGGGGTTCTACGACTGTCACAAGTCTATGTGAAAGTATAAGAGGTAACAGGGGGTTCTACGACTGTCACAAGTCTATGTGAAAGTATGGGAGTTAAAAGGGGGTTCTACGATTGACATAAGTCTATGTTAAAGTATGGGAGTTAACAGGGGGTTCTACGATTGACATAAGTCTATGTTAAAGTATGGGAGTTAACAGGGGGTTCTACGACTGTCACAAGGCTATGTGAAAGTATGGGAGTTAACAGAGGGTTCTACGACTGTCACAAGGCTATGTGAAAGTATGGGAGTTAACAGGGGGTTCTATGATTGACATAAGTCTATGTGAAAGTATGGGAGTTAACAGAGGGTTCTACGACTGTCACAAGTCTATGTGAAAGTATGAGAGTTAACAGGGGGTTCTACGACTGTCACAAGGCTATGTGAAAGTATGGGAGTTAACAGAGGGTTCTAGGACTGTCACAAGGCTATGTGAAAGTATGGGAGTTAACAGAGGGTTCTATGATTGACATAAGTCTATGTGAAAGTATGGGAGTTAACAGGGGGTTCTACGACTGTTACAAGGCTATGTGAAAGTATGGGAGTTAACAGGGGGTTCTACGACTGTTACAAGTCTATGTTAAAGTATGGGAGTTAACAGAGGGTTCTATGATTGACATAAGTCTATGTGAAAGTATGGGAGTTAACAGAGGGTTCTACGACTGTCACAAGGCTATGTGAAAGTATGGGAGTTAACAGAGGGTTCTATGATTGACATAAGTCTATGTGAAAGTATGGGAGTTAACAGAGGGTTCTACGACTGTCACAAGGCTATGTGAAAGTATGGGAGTTAACAGAGGGTTCTATGATTGACATAAGTCTATGTGAAAGTATGAGAGTTAACAGGGGGTTCTACGACTGTCACAAGGCTATGTGAAAGTATGGGAGTTAACAGGGGGTTCTACGACTGTTACAAGGCTATGTGAAAGTATGGGAGTTAACAGAGGGTTCTACGACTGTCACAAGGCTATGTGAAAGTATGGGAGTTAACAGGGTTCTATGATTGACATAAGTCTATGTGAAAGTATGGGAGTTAACAGAGGGTTCTACGACTGTCACAAGGCTATGTGAAAATATGGGAGTTAACAGAGGGTTCTACGATTGACATAAGTCTATGTTAAAGTATTGGAGTTAACAGGGGGTTCTAAGACTGTCACAAGTCTATGTGAGAGTATGGGAGTTAACAGAGGGTTCTACGACTGACATAAGTCTATGTTAATGTATTGGAGTTAACAGGGGGTTCTACGACTGACATAAGGCTATGTTAAAGTATGAGAGTTAACAGGGGGTTCTACGACTGTCACAAGTCTATGTTAAAGTATGAGAGTTAACAGGGGGTTCTACGACTGTCACAAGGCTATGTGCAAGTATGAGAGTTAACAGGGGGTTCTACGACTGACATAAGGCTATGTTAAAGTATGAGAGTTAACAGGGGGTTCTACGACTGTCACAAGGCTATGTGAAAGTATGAGAGGTAACAGGGGGTTCTACGACTGTCACAAGGCTATGTGCAAGTATGGGAGTTTACATAGGGGGACAGTGGCAGTGACTTTTGGTTGTTCAAAGAGGTCCAGTTTCTTTTACTTGCTAACATGACCAATTCCTTATGAATGCTATGGACTAATAATAACTCATCCAGTTAGTAAATCATATATTACATAGCAAAACAATACTACTTCATTAATCAAAATTTTTGGTAGGGGTGAAACGATACATCATTGTGAGTTTTCATATATACAAAGCATTTTCTTCTGTATTGACACAAAACAATACACTTGCTAAAACTAATTAATTACGTCTCATTTAATTATCACACACACCAGCATTGTGTCTGTCAAATATTTCAATATGTGTTGTAATTAGCGCTTCAAGTTCACTTTTAAACATACTGCTATAAATATGTGTCGACAGCTATGTTTCCTTTGCAACCTGCACTGAAATATTTAAGGTCAGGAAGTTTCCATGCGATTTGATGTAAATATGTGTATCACGTATTGTATCATGATCTATGTATCGTGACCTTGCTGTATCGTTTCACCCCTATTTTGGGGGTGAGGGAGAAGGCCATTGTTGAAATTATTTTATTGGTGGGGGGGGGGGGGGGGGCTCATTAATATGTATATATTTAAGCACCAAACAGTTTTGATGTATTATTACTGGTATATTATGATACAATATTTTGGTGGGGCTGTCGGGTAGCTTAGTGGTTAAAGCGTTCGCTCGTCACGCCGAAGACCCGGGTTCGATTCCCAACATGGGTACAGTGTGTGAAGCCCATTTCTGGTGTCCCCCAGCCGTGATATTGCTGGAATATTGCTAAAAGCGGCGTAAAATCATACTCACTCACTCACTACAATATTTTGGTAGGATACCAATTTTTTCACCTTGGCGCTGTAGTTTTCGGGATGATATTTCTAAGATATGTGTTATCAATCTGACAGCCTTACAGGGATACATAGTCACCATCTTTCAGAAACAAGGACAGTATGTTGCTTTGTTCATAGTTTGTGTACAGAAACAAGTTGTTATTCTTTGCAACATGATATTAAATGAATTTAATATTTCCTTTGTTTTTGTTTTTTTTCAAGTTTATGTTCACAACTTACAGTCGACTAGCGTGCAGATATGCCATGCCACCAGAAGAGGAGTTGTTGTTTTTGATGAGGATGATGGCGGCAATGATGATGATGATTGTGATGAATGGAACAGATGAACAAGCCACAGCTACTTAAGTGGATTCAGGACCGCCTCCTGGTCTAGTGTT